TGAACATTGTTTTTTTCGGCTACTAGGACCGAGAAAAAATACGAACATCTGAAGAAAATAAGTGCCACGATAAACCAACACCAAATGCGGTGACAAACTGTGACAAACTAAACAACCGTGCCGAAATTTTCATTCCATGAAATTTTAACCTAGGTGTGCCTCGGCAAACCGGTAAGGCTGTCAGTGACATTATTTTTTGTTGGCACCAAAAAAAAAAACAACAAATTCGCAATGTTGTGATGTGCAATAAACATGAAACCAAACCACAGCACAGCGCCAGGTTCAAAGCGTTGGGGCCAAATACAAAGGAGGGAAAAAACATGTGCATGGATGAAAGGAACGGTGCGTGTCCCGAACTCAGAAAAACATGGTGTAAGAGGCCGTGTTGGTGATGACAACAGCCAATGACATGACTATTCTGCAAATGTCGAACCGAAATTGTGGTAATTTGGACGTTTTCATTTCCCGTCATGAGCGTGAGATGTCCATTTGCGTTTTGACTGCGCGGGTTTGCACAAAATGGTTGTTCCGGTCTTGGTCTGCAGCATTTTACGTGAAAATTTCTGGATAGGATTGCCTTGGTCACATTACCATGTGCATTTCAATTGCTCACGCTCGCGCAAAACGGTTGTCCTCGTGTTTGTTTGCGGCATTTGAATTCCCTCGCGCAAACTATGTGTTGCGGTCTTGGGATCGGTCCTCCGTCCCCACATCAGCATCCTCACTATCATCTTCGTCCTCCTCCACATCATCATCATCATCATCATCGTCATCATCATCATCATTCCCTGACATCATCATCCTCAATTTTATCATCCTCCACCGAGCCTTTCGCAACGTCATCATCTTCCATCCCTTCATCTGCAACGTTGTTCATCCAGAAGAACCACCGTTGTCTTACGGAATCATCGCCAAAACATGGAAGACAACACAGATAAGAATGGTGGACGCTTGGAAAATGCCGAAGAAGAAACGCTCACTGATGATGAGGAAATGAATTCTACAGCTACAATGTCGGTCCTGTTTGGTGCAGTGAGGGCACGCCAGAACGAGGCATGAGCGCTAGACCTTTATTATATAATATTTTACTGACTCAGCAAACCATCATGTAGTGATCCTACGGATTTGACCATGCCTGGCAAAACCCTTGTACTGCATATAATATAAATCAAGATCCCGGGGCCTGGGTTTTAATTTTTGACGGTTTCTGGCTGTTAAAATTGAGTTTTGAATGGTGCAGGATACATATGAGGGTGTTGGTTCAGCATTATTTGTTAGTGGTTTCTTATCGAACGCGGCTTTGGTTTACATACGCGTGGTTTATTCAGAGTAACCCCGTCCAGGTTAGCCCCGGTCCGCCTAAGTCTGGCCAGGCCAATCCTAACTGCTAGGTTCTCCCAAGTCCTCCCAGGTCCTCCCAGGTTCCCCCGGGTCCTCCCAGGTCCTCCCAGGGTTTTCCAGGTCCTCCCAGAAAATTAGTGATTTCTTCCGATTTTGTGAATGTCCGGGATTTCCTGGGTTTTATTTTCTGCGATTTTGTGGGGTCTCCGGGATTTCCTGGGAGAACCTGGGTGTTATTCACGGTCACTTCGCGACGAAAACCGCCCGCACCAAGTGTAATGGATTCGGGAACGAACGTTTTTTTAGCACTTATTGGGCATTTTTTAGCTCCGTATGAAGGTATCGTGGCCCCATATGAGAATATGTTGGCCCCATTTGAGGCTATGTTGGCCTTATGTGAGCCTATCTTAAGCTCATGTTGGGCCTATGTTGGGCCTATGTTGGGCCTATGTTGGGCATATGTTGGGCCTATCTTGACGTATTTTTGGCCTATTATTGGTCCAGATCAAAGATTTTGACCCGTTTGGACATTGACTTTGCAGTTTCGCCAGTGGATCATGGACAACCAGTTGTTCCTATCCCTCGGGGTGCTGAGCACACCATCGACCTCAACCAGACCAGTGGTCAACTGTTGGAAAAGATGGAGCACAGTGGGTGTGGGTCTGGTCAGGCTGAGCACATGTGGGTTTGTGTCAAGCTTGACACTGATGATGAGCCTTTGCAGCTGGGCCCCCTTTCGGTGCCTACATCGATGGCTCGTTGCCGCCTTTTGCCGCTCGCCTTGTTGCATCAGCTGGTGACGGCAATCAAGAATCGGCTATTGCTTGGCCGTGGCTCTCTGCATGGTCCTCGTGACGATCTGGCTGCTGCATGGTGGGTTTCTTGCAACTGTGTTGCGCAGGCGATGGCATCATTCGATGAACTTTTGGCTTCAATTGGTCATCGGACCATTGATGAGATCTTTCCAGCTCTTGGACGCGATATGCCACCATCAGATGATTCGCCTGAGGATCCCTCTCCTGAAACTGCGCGTCCACCAGGGTTCACTGCTGGTGTTACCCCTCCGGCCACTCCAGGTCATGCAATTCCTGACATGACGGGACTTTGAATGGTTTGGTTGGCCGCCTGGTGGCTGAATCTACGGTTGGCGCAGCTTCCTCTGGAATTGTGCCCGAGGTCATCAAGGATTTGTCGGCCGTGGTGCTTCTGGTGCATCCTCATCTTCTACTGGCCTGGGGCCGAGCAACACTTGGTGGACATGTTTGAGCCCATCGACATCATTCACGGCCATGACCTTTTGGATGACGACGAATTTTCAGAGGTGGTGGCGCAGGCGGAATCTGAACTCGTTGGCGCAGGGGTGGCAGCACCATTTTGCTGCAAACACTCCAGGGCCACCCTCAGACGTCCTGGTCCTCGACCTGTCAGGCCTCCGGAGTTATTAGATGGGGTTCGGCCTAATTCCACTGCCCAACCGCTGCGTGTACAGGAATCATCGCTGATGCAGGACATTTTGTCGGCGATCAACCGTGGGGGTGGACTCATTATCTTGGAGAACACTGGGTCCAGCATGACTTGGCTTGATGATCAAATGGTTAGCTGGGTTCATGCCGAAGCTCCTTTTGCGGCACATGCGCATGCTTGTCAATTTGGTGCTGGCTGGGCGAAAGTTTGGTGCTTCGTTTCGAACCGCCCTGAAAATTTGCTTTCACGTTTTGCATTCACTGGGTGCTGCCGCGCACACGGGGGACTCTCACTTGCCATCAGGGCACTGGCAATAATGCAGCAGATGCCACTGCTGCAAAAGGGATCACCATGACAGTTGGCATGTCACAGATTTTGACCCACTACTTTGTGTTCATGAAAAAAGATTTCACATTTTCTCTCGGATCACCCATATTCCAGGCCCGGAGGAAAGAAATCACAAAAGTTTGCGTTGTCCATCTGAATCTGCACACAGGTTGAACTTTGCTAACAACCGTGGAGTAAATTTTGCTCGCCGGTGGAGCCTGCAACCACCCGAAAAACGAAGCGCCATTGGCACATGTGGAAACGGGCCAGTTTAAAAACAGTTCAGTTTCCCACCGGGGCCAACACTAAAAAAAAAATAAGCAGGCCTCGTAAAAAAAAAAAGGTGGGCACAGGCACCCCGCCACAAGAGTGAAACCCGAAGTAGGTGAACTTTTTGCATCCGACTTTGGTTTCCCGTGTGCTTTTGTTTCGCGTCTGGGTTCCCCGTGCCCTTCTGCTTGGATCGTCGCTCACTATGTCGGGGCAACCCCCCGGCCATCGATCTCACCTCTGCCACCCCAGCTTCCGATCCCATCGAAGATATCATGCCTTGCGTCCCTACCAGTTCGGGAGTCACCGTCCCCGCCACGGCTCCCACCACCCCGCCACATTTGCGGCACGCATGCCGCCAACCACCAGCAGCAACAGAAGATGAAGTAGCATGCCCCATATGCCTCACAGCAATCACGGACAGCGGGACATCCACATTCAGATGGCCACACTGCCGGCATGCCTTCCACACAGGATGCGCCGCACATATGGTAGTGGAAAATCCACAGCCACCTGGCCCCACATGCCGGAACCCATGGAATGATGCCTCTTACTTGTTGTTCCACGCGCAAAGCACACACCAAGGCGTGGAAATCCCACAGCGGCTGGAGCAAGTCGACACGCGCAACACTGCGATGCAACCACCGGCTGCCCCTACCCACATGAGGCCACACTGCTGCCCCCACCTCTTCCTGGCAGACCCCTCCCGCCCAGAGCAAGCAGCAACTTAACTCCAGGACAGACACATGGCATGGGCACCAGTGCACACCCAACTTTGTTTTAGCATTCCAACAAGCTCTTGATTTTATTTTCTTCGCTGTCTCTTGGAACTTGGAACTTCCGACGGGCTCCTGATGCCGTGCTCGTAATTTTTTGAAGTAATTTGGACATGCATTTGATTTGATGTTACGATCTCCAGTATTAGTTCGTGGAACCTCCAGCATGGTATGCCGGCACGTTTTTTTTTTCCTCCACTTCCAACACATTGTTGATGCTATGTTGCGACCTTTTTCCAAGAACTTGTAACACTGTTGATGCCAACAAGGTATTGATGATATGTTCCCCAACAGCGTAAGCTACCGGGGTCTTCAGCCCAGAATGGCTCCGGTGTGCACTGGTGCAGGCGCCAGGTCAGGTTCAACGAGGTTCCGGAGAAGGTTCCGAAAGTTCCGGAGAAGGTCTGTGGGACTTTGGTGCAGAGACGGGTTAGGTTCAACAGGGTTGCGAAGGTTCAGAGAAGGTTCCGGGCGGCTTTGCTGCAAAGCTAGGTCAGGATCAACAGGGTTCCGGAGAAGGTTTCGGACAAGGTCGGGGAGGCTTTGGTGCAGAGCCAGAAGGTTCCGGAGAAGTTTCCAAGAAGCTTTGGTGCAAAGTCAAGGCAGGTGCAATGGGTTCTGGAGAAGGTTGCAGAGAAGGTCCTGGAGAAGGTTTTGGGAATCTTTGGGCCAGGTCAGGTCTAACAAGCTCAACAAGGTTTCCAGCGCTTGTCTTCGCAGCACGCTTCAGAAAAAATTGTAAAAATAAAACGCTGCGGCTGTTGGGATACCACCGAAGCTTATTACTTTTTTGGGGGCACGGCCAACAAGCTCTTGATGCCGAAGTCCAAGGCTCAAACCCCTAAATTATTGGGTGTGGGAACCGTAGCGCCTTGCAGCTAGATGTCTGCCAACGGTGAGCTCAAGAATGTTCCCACCATCAAGGCAGGATTGAAACCTCCCAATTTTGAAGGTGCCATGGTCAAAAATAGCATGGTCATGGTTTCACTTTTCCCATCACACGAGTTTTATCGTTCCATGACAATGTCAGCGTTGGTCTCTTCATTTTTTGTTTTAATACAAACATGGTGCATCCAGTGAATGTCCATCTCATTCTGATGGGGTTAAGGTATCCGTTTAAAAGGAATCCTTGCTACTGCTGGGAGGAACATACCTCATATACAATTTTTTTGAGTTTGCACATGGTCGAAACAGGTTCAATTCAACTTGCAAATCGGCACCTCACCAATGCTTCTTTTGAACACGCCGTTAGGCTTACAAGAACCCCGACTGGTTGGGATCGCCGACCTCGCGGCACATTAGGATCATGTGCCTGGGTGAATTGTGATGATGCAGTCCTCTTTTGTGAATCGAACGATGAAACAAGGGTGAAGGCCAAAACGAGGTTTACAACCGGAAATTCTTGAATGTGGATTGGTCGCCACAGGTGTGAACTCTACGAGCCGATGAAGCGCTTGGATGACAACAACATCGACAATTATTTCATCATCGTACCTCGTCAAAAAACAGAAGCAAGGCATTTGCAGAGCGTTCTGTTCCGTTTGGTTGTTCCCTTGTTTGGTTATGTATTTGATCGGCACCAACATGACATCCAAAACGATAGGACCACATGCGATTGCGCATGCTGAGTCTGCAGGTGGGTTCCCATTTGGTAATGGATCCAGAGGTTCAGCCGGGTTTGGGCCATGGCGGTTGAGAACTTGGGCTGATGGCATGACTCGGCTTGAGGTTGTTGAATCATGTTTCCTTGGCTAGGACCGGGTGAAACACATCAATGGCTTGGAGCAGCAACTCAAGAAAATCACTGCTGAAGAGGAGGCAATGGCTGGAAGTGCCATGGGCCCGCTGTACGACATCTCAACAGTTCCGATTCTGCTGTCAGAGTTCTTTTTTCTGGCCATTTTTTGCGGCAATTTTTTGCGGAACAAAATCGGCTGCAGGTTGAAGCAGTGCAGGCAAAGTTGCGCTTTGCCAAGAAGATGCAGAATATGGACAAATTTTATGTGTGCCTTGGCAGCCACTGCTCAAGTTGAGGTCCAAAAGCTTTTGGCCGCACTTCCAACCTGTGGAGCGTTCCTCTATTTCCCAAGGATGGCGCGAGAATTGGGTGAAAAATTGGGCAAATGGAACAGAGAACGGGCAGCCATTGGCAAACCGCTGGCTACTCAGGATCTCAAAAACTTGTCAATGAAACCAGTTTGTGACTGACAATCTCTGATCTTCTACCTTGAGAGGTCCTACAACGTCAGCACTGGTGGTGGTCCGGGCATCATGGAAGCAGCCAATCGGGGCGCACACGAAGCAGGTCCCAGACGTGGGGAAGCTGCTGGGAAGCTGTCGCAAAGCTGTTCGTGTTATCTGATGGGGAACTGGTTGGAGGTAAGGCCGATATGGCATACAGGAAACATGAAATATGTGCAGTATCATTTGTTGAAAGGTGAGACTCATGGCTATTATTGTTAATACATCAGCAGACCCTAGGATTATTGTGTGACATAGACTCCCCGAGATTTTCGCTCGAGAGAAGGGGCAGCTTACAGAGGGAACAGAACGGTATAGATGAAGCAGAAAAGCTTTGTTCTGTCAGGTGACACAACCCTCGGCTTTGGTGCTAGCAGACCAGAGTGGCTTGGCTGCACCTGGCGTTCTGCTGCTGGCTGCACCTGGTGTTCCCTCAGTCCTTGGCTCTGCTGGATGAGTTGAGTTGCTGAGGTGGGGATCTTTGAACAGGCCAGGATTTTTGCACTGTAGCTGGGCACATGTTGGCCTTGGCAGAAGCGCCGCCAGGTATGTGTCAAACCATGGCGCCTTCGAGTTTCACTACTTCTTCATGAGAAAGTTCTGGATGGCATACAAGTGCATGGGCTTGGTGGTGATGCCTGGAGGCCCCTGTCTTGCTGCATCTTGTTTGACTTTGGAGGATGTGTTGGGTTTCGTCCAACTTATGGGCGTCACAATCCCATAGTTTGACCCATATTGTTCACCCCAGTCTTGCACCCCTAAGTTGGGCTTCCAAAGCCAGGCTTTGGTTCGTTGGATGAGCTCTTTGAGATGTTGGTCCTTTTGCAGACCAAGCTGCTTGGCTGTCTGGCTATGTGCAATTGGTCGAGTAAATTTGGATAAACAAATCCATTGGTTGGAGGGTTTCATGGTAGTTGATGAGTTGGTCCGCTTTGCGGGAAGATGGGATGAAAAATGATAACACCACAATTTTTATTGAGGGTCAGTCTGTGTGCAGCTACCTTGACTTTTGAAGAGACAGAGCTTTGCAGGGCTTTGATGATAGGACGGTTGCTTGGAGCGTTTGATGCAACGAAGGAAAATTTCGCATCCAATGCCAATCATCTTGCTTGGTGCGGAGTTTTGGAAGAAGGCCATCAACTTTGACTACCTGCTGGAGTGCGGGATGTTTCAACCTCAGCATGGTACCTTTAAGCATCTTGAAGCAGATTGGCATAGGATGGGCCACATGATTCGATATTTGATATTTGGTATACTTGGTGGCTGCGATTGAGGCTCACACAATCGCATCTGGATATGTTGGTCTTCAAAGACTCCGCAGAGGCTGGTGGTGCCTGGCTGGTCATGACAGGAATTTGTGGCTGGAACTCGTTGGAGTGTGTTCACCAGAGTCGCGTGTTAGGGTAGAGCTCCCTGTGGTTCCTGCAGGATGCTTTCCAGTACTTGGTGGAGAATGTTAGGAAGGCTGAGGAAAGTGGAGAGACAGAACAGGCCCAAGTGGTGGCCACGTAACCTTTTATGGTTCCACCTCCGACAAGGAAGAATGCATTTATATAATTGGATGTTTTCATCTCTGGTTCAGGTTCAATCAGCCAAGCGCAGACGACTGGAGAACAAGCCCAGCGTGCCAAGCACTCCTTCCAAGAAAGATAAATAAGCAGTGCTGGACTCAGATGCATTCTTTGTTTGGAATATATTACTATCCCAGCAGGTTCTAAGAGCATGATGTGTACAGGTTCCCCAAACGTTCCAGTTGCGACAAACCGCTAAGGAAGCTGTCGGCCCCGAAGGGCCATAAAATTGTTGGAATACAGCGATGTATCCTCTTCCGGACCTTGGGGTCTGATGTCTCACCTGAATCTTTTGGCGCAGAAGTGCTGATGCTTTAGCTATGCTTTACGTCTTTACGTGTTGTTCTCTTGTGGAAGCCCGGAGGTGGGTTCTCCGAGACCCAAAGTCCGCAACCCCATAGGTGCCATGGCTTTCGTACGCTTCAACTAAGTTTGGGTTCACTAAAATCGGTTCCAAAGTCAGTCCTTTCTTGTGGAGCCACCTCCTGGTACTGGGCTTTATTCTTTCGACTTAGGCGGGGCGATGGAAAAAGGTGCAGCCACGAAAAGTCTTTTGGGGTTCCCAAGCCACCTAAAATCACCCAGGGTAGAGCAATGATGTGCAATGCAAACCCTCGACATCAAATCGCAATCCTGCCAGGGCAAGCGATTCTAGCCACACTCTGGCATGAATTCATGACCCCTGCTGGCTCAAAGAGCCATCTACTGGGAATGTTGGGCCGCGGCGATGCGGCAATTTCAAGAGCAGGATGCTAAAGTGCGGGGCTAATTTCATCCGTGGGAGGTCAAAATTTTGGTGCCCTTCAACCCCCAAACAAGCGGTCATGGATGTTCATCCCCAGCTATGGTATCCCTATGGCATTTCATGGGTTTAAAATGGTTTAAAATCCATCCAGTTGGTAAGACCTGACCTTTGCAAGGTTCGGACCTGGGCTGGGCGCGCATACACAGATGATGAGTTGTCGCGTCGCTTTGAGAACCAGAGCTCAGGCCAGGTGCAAGATGTGGCTTTTCGGAGATTTGGGGGACTGCCCAGAACTTGCAATTTGTGGGATATGATAAACCATATGGACCATAGGATTTGTTGGGATGTATTGGGATTCATTGTGATGTTTGGGTGCCCCATTTTCGGACAACCTATGCGGTGCCTGCATGGCCATGTGGTATCCGTCCAGTCATTGGGCAAGATTTGTTTGACATTGTCACAGCCAGGCAATGAGGGGCTCATGGACGAGGAGGCAGCAAGACGTTTGGTTGCCAGAGAAAGTGGGCCTCTCAGATTTGTGTTTAGAGATTGCCTCAACCTGAGCCACAGTCGACATGCAGCACCCACAGCACTTAAACTACAGAAGTTGTAAGGGTTCCCTGGCAGTTCCCTGGTAGATGCTGGAGGAGAGAGTGCCCAGAGCGACCTCATGGATGAGGATACTGTGAAAAGCCGTGGCCTCAGGAGGAACTTGTCGAGAAGGGGATTGTTTAGTATTGTTGATTTCCCGGCTGGTAAACCCACCACTTGGGGGGAATCTGCTAACTAGGAAATGCCAGGAATATAACACATCTGTGATATTTCTTGGAGCCTCTGGAATTTATCCAAGATACGTCCACTGAAAGTTCTGGTTCCAGATGTGCCAGCCTTGAAGCAGGAAAGCTTGCCGCTGAGCGAGAAGCTCAGGGCGCAGTTGAACTCTGTCGGTGCTGCACCGAAAATGCCCTCCCCAAATGGTAAGTTTTACGGAAAATGATGATCAACCAGTGGATGGGATAGCGTTTTCCCTGTATTTTTCAGGGCGCTTGATTTAGTGGGGAAAATGATGATCATTTGAAAAAAAACAGTGGATTTTGGGCAACTTTTTCAGCTGCCCAAAACAGCTTCAGCTTCAGCTCTCAGGCGAGAAAAAGAACGTGGAGAACGTGACAGCGGGGACGAAGAGGATATTTCGCTATTATCAATGGCCATGCAACAGGAACCTAAATTGGAGGTACCTACCATATATAAGGCCTATGTTTCAGGCCTATGTAAGGGAATATCACCACAAAATATGGCCTTATATGGTACAGTACCTCCAATTTAGGATCCTGGAATTCCCATTGATATTGCTATTGCTATTGTTTGCTATTGCTATTTCCCAACAGCGAATCTGTTGGGTTTCAATCTCGACCGGGGAGCGGTGACGCGAAAATGCACGCGCCGAACAACCGGAACAGTCCTGGAACCTTGCTGGAACCTTTCGCTGTTGGGTTGCAAAGCTGGGCTAATATTATTGTTATTCTACTTCTTCTTCTTCTTCTTATTCCCCACATCTTTGTGTGGGGTTCTTGTTTTTGATTCTGTATCCCGGGTTCTCCTCCAGCCTCCCACCTCCCGCCTCCCGCCTCCCGCCTCCGCCGCCTCATATCACAACACAATCTTTCATCACACACCCTCTTTCACACACCCTCTTTGACACACAATCTTTCACACACACCATCTTTCACACACCATCTCTCACATCATCTTTCACATACCATCTTTCACACACCATCTTTTACACACACCATCTTTCACTCACCATCTTTGTCACCCATCTTTGTCAATCTCTCTCACACACACACATCTTTGTCAACCACCATTGCGTGGCAGGCGTGGCACTTGGCGACATGTGCCTTCATTTCACGTGGCAGGCGTGGCACTTGGCGACATGTGCCTTCATTTCACGTGGCAGGCGTGGCACTTATGGCACTGGGCTGGCTCTGGTGGCGCGCTCTTTTACACACCACATCTTTCACTCACCACCCATCTTTGTCAATCTCTCACACACATCTTTGTCAACCACAATTGCCCCCACATCTTTGTGTGGGGTTCTTGTTTTTGATTCTGTATCCCGGGCTCTCCTCCTCCAGCCTCCCGCCTCCCGCCTCCGCCGCCTCATCACACAACACAATCTTTCATCACACACCCTCTTTCACACACCCTCTTTGACACACAATCTTTCACACACCATCTTTCATCTTTCCAACAACTTTGTCACATACCATCGTTCTCACACGCAACTTTGTCACACACAATCTTCCACACACCCTCTTTCACACAATGTTTCACACACCATCTTTCACACACCATCTCTCACATCATCTTTCACATACCAATTTTCACACAGCATCTTTTACACACAACATCTTTCACTCACCATCTTTGTCACCCATCTTTGTCAATCTCTCACACACATCTTTGTCAACCACCATTGCGTGGCAGGCCTCGCACTTGGCGACATGTGCCTTCGTTTCACGTGGCAGGCGTGGAACTTATGGCACTGGGCTGGCTCTGGTGGCGCGCTTGGGCTGGGATTAGTCGCCGGTGACGCTGCGGCTCTTTGCGTGGCAGGTGTGGCACTTGGCAACATCCACCTTCGTTTCACGTGGCAGGCGTGGCACTTATGGCACTGGGCTGGCTCTGGTGGCGCGCTTGGGCTGGGATTAGTGGCCAGTGATTGCGTGGCAGGTGTGGCACTTGGTGACATGCACCTTCATTTCGTGTGGCAGGCGCGGCACTTGGTGACATCCACCTTCGTTTTGCGTGGCAGGCGTGGCACTTGGTGACATCCACCTTCGTTTCGCGTGGCAGGCCTGGCACTTACGGCACTGGGCTGGCTCTGGCGGGGGGCTTGGACCCACCATCTTTGACACACGATCTTTCACACACAACTTTGTCACACACCTGGCACACCACTTTGTCACAGACCATCTTTCACACACCATCTGTGACACACCCTCTTTCACACACCACTTTGTCACACACAATTTCACACACCACTTTGTCACACACCATCTTTCACACACCATCTTTGACACACCATCTTTCACACACCACTTTGTCACGCACAATCTTTGACACACCATCTTTGACACACCATCTTTCACACACCACTTTGTCACACACAATCTTTGACACACCATCTTTGACACACCATCTTTCACACATAACTTTGTCACGCACCATCTTTCAACACACCATCTTTCCCACACAACTTTGTTACACACCATCTTTCGCCACACCATCTTTCCCACACCATTTTGTCACACACCACCTTTCACACACAACTTTGTCACACACACACACCATCTTTCTTTGTCACACACCATCTTTCACATACAACTTTGTCACACACAACTTTGTTTTACTTCTCGATCCTCCACCACCTCCTTTGTCTTTCCTTCTTTCCCCGTCCCCGCTGCAACATTTGGTGCTCATTATTGGAAGAAGTTGCCTTGTGGGGTTATCCGGTCCTTTAATTACGACTGTTAATGTCACTATGGTTGTTTTGGTGCGAAATTTCAGTCTTGACATGGTCATGACATGTCATGACTGCAGAGATGTTGCATCCCAATCCGCCGCTTTGGTAGGACAGGCAGCGTGCCAATGCAGCTCGCGCGGCCCGTCAGGAGCAAATGCATGTCCTGCTGCTGAAAAGGGGTGAAAACTGTCATGGTAGTTTTGTGATTTGATGTTGTGAAGAGTTTGTGAAGCCACTTTTTGTGGGACATGTACTCCACGTGGCCAGTGCATCAAGTGCACGGCGTTGGCTGACAATATTTCTAGAGCACTACGCGGGTCACCACACCCCACCACGCAGATGAAACAGCACTCCATTTTTTCAGGATGGCAGCGACAGCAGTAGTCGAAGCAGAAGTCGCAGCCGAAGCAGAAGTCGCAGCTCGGTGCCCAGGAACTTAGTGGAGGTGTTGAGGGATCCTTTGAGGCTTCCTTCACCTTGCGTCCACCCTCACTTTAAACGTGAACGCCATGTGATGTGTTTTTTTTTGATATTACGAAAGCCAGCTAGCTGGATCGTTGCTGTCTGCGAACAAAGTGAGTATAAGGGGGTCTGGGGGGAGGGCTTGCCCAAGTCCGCCAAAATCTCGCTATTACTTGGGGGAAGGGTGTGTTTTGGGAGCGTTTTTCCGGGTCATGTACCATGCGGCAAAAGGGTGACGGTAGGGTATCGATTCCCCCTAGGTCCGCATTTTGGGGAGCCTTTTGGGGTGCTTGGCAGAGGAGCCGATGTCTGCGAGAAGGGGGAAGGAGTGCTAGCACAGATAGGAAAGGTAAGGGTAAAGGCGCCTTTTGCCGCTGCTGTCGATGTTGGTGGAGGAAGGACAAAAGTCGCCCGGCTCGAGGGTCTTTGTCGGGCACTGTGATGTCAGATGGGAAGGTGTTTGTGTGAAGGAGGAAGGAGGGCTAGCGCATAATGCGAGGTTTGAAGGCGTAGACATAGCAGCTGTCACAAAAATTAACCACCAAAAGTACCGTGGAGGAGGTACATAATGGCCTGTGAAGCAGAATGTAGAGCATTCCTGACAATTCAGGCCGATATATTTATATTTATATATATTTATATATTTATATATATATATTACGAAAGCCGGCCGGGAAGCTGGCCAGTTGTTGTTTGCGACCGAAGTGAAAATAGGGGGTCTGGGGGGGGCTCTGGGTAAAAAGTATATGGGTGAAAAGTTTATATGGGAAAAGTCTGTGGGTGAGAAGTATATGGTTGATCCGTCTTTGGGCGAGAAGTATATGGGTGAAAAGTATGTGCAAGAAGAGTTTCTGGGTGAAGAGTCCCTGGGTGAAAAGTCTGTGCAAGAAGATTTTCTGGGTGAAGAGTCTCTGGGTGAAAAGTTGATGGGTGAAAGGCATATGGGGGAAAAGTCTGTGAGTGAGAAATATAAGTTTGATCCGTCTGTGGGTGAAAAGTATATGGGTGAAAAGTATGTGCAAGAAGAGTTTCTGGGTGAAGAGTCTCTGGTGAAAGATGGGGAATTAAGGAATGAAGATAGTCTCACTGGGTGAAAAGTCTGTGCAAGAAAATTTCTGGGTGAAGAGTCTCTGGGTGAAAAGTAAATGGGTGAAAAGTATGTGCAAGAAGAGTTTCTGGGTGAAAGTCTCTGGGTGAAAAGTATGTGCAAGAAGGGTTTCTGGGTGAAGAGTCTCTGGGTGAAAAGTATATGGGTGAAAAGTCTGTGCGAGAAGAGTTTCTGGGTGAAGAGTCTCTGGGTCAAAAGTACGTGCAAGAAGAGTTTCTGGGTGAAAGTCTCTGGGTGAAAGGTATATGGGTGAAAAGTACGTGCAAGAAGAGTTTCTGGGTGAAAGTGAATCGAGATTCTGGGTGAAAAGTCTGTGCAAGAAGAGTTTCTGGGTGAGGAGTCTCTGGGTGAAAAGTCTGTGCAAGAAGAGTTTCTGGGTGAAGAGTCCCTGGGTGAAAAGTATATGGGTGAAAGGCATATGGGGGAAAAGTCTGTGGGTGAGAAATATATGGTTGATCCGTCTGTGGGTGAAAAGTAAATGAGTGAAAAGTATGTGCAAGAAGATTTTCTGGGTGAAGAGTCTCTGGGTGAAAAGTATATGGGTAAAAAGTACGTGCAAGAAGAGTTTCTGGGGAAGAGTTTCTGTGTGAAGAGTGTATGGGTGAAAAGCCTGTGCAAGAAGAGTTTCTGGGTGAAGAGACCCTGGGTAAAAAGTATGTGCAAGAAGAGTCTCTGGGTGAAGAGTCTCTGGGTGAAAGGTATATGGGTGACAAGTATGTGCAAGAAGAGTTTCTGGGTGAAGAGTTTCTGAGTAAAAAGTATATGGGTGAAAAGCCTGTGCAAGAAGAGATTCTGGGTGAAGAGTCTCTGGGTGAAAATTATATGGGTAAAAAGTACGTGCAAGAAGAGTTTCTGGGTGAAGAGTCTCTGGGTGAAAGGTATATGGGTGAAAAGTATGTGCAAGAAGTGTTTCTGGGTGAAGAGTTTCTGAATAAGAGTCTCTGGGTGAAAAGTCTGTGCAAGAAGAGTTTCTGGGTGAAGAGTCTCTGGATGAAAAGTATATGGGTGAAAAGTATGTGCAAAAAGAGTTTCTGGGTGAAGAGTTTCTGGGTGAAGAGTATATGGGTGAAAAGTTTGTGCAAGAAGAGTTTCTGGGTGAAGAGTCTCTGGGTGAAAAGTATATGGGTGAAAAGTATCTGCAAGAAGAGTTTCTGGGTGAAAAGTCTATGGGTTAAAAGTACGTGCAAGAAGAGTTTCTGGGTGAAGAGTTTCTGGGTGAAGAGTCTCTGGGTGAAAAGTATGTGCAAGAAGAGTTTCTGGGTGAAGAGTCTCTGGGTGAAAAGTATATGGGTGAAAAGTATGTGCAAGAAGAGTTTCTGGGTGAAGAGTCTCTGGGTGAAAAGTATATAGGTGAAAAGTATGTGGAAGGAGAGTTTCTGGGTGAAGAGTTTCTGGGTGAAGAGTCCCTGGGTGAAAAGTATATGGGCGAAAAGTCTGTGCAAGAAGGGTTTCTGGGTTAAGAGCCCCTGGGTGAAAAGTATATGGGTTAAAAGTACGTGCAAGAAGAGTTTCTGGGGAAGAGTCTCTGGGTGAAAAGTATATCGGTGAAAAGTGTGAGCAAGAAGAGTTTCTGAATAAGAGTCTCTGGGGGAAAAGTCTGTGCAAGAAGAGTTTCTGGGTGAAGAGTCTCTGGGTGAAAAGTATGTGCAAGAAGAGTTTCTGGGTGAAGAGTTTCTGGGTCAAGAGTCTCGGTGAAAAGTATGTGCAAGAAGAGTTTCTTGGTGAAGAGTTTCTGGGTGAAGAGTCTCTGGGTGAAAAGTATGTGCAAGAAGGGTTTCTGGGTGAAGAGTCTCTGGGTGAAAAGTATGTGGGGGAAAAGTCTGTGGGTGAAAAATCATTGGGGGAAAATAGGGGTAGATGGGATGCTGGCTTTTGTTCCCCCCTTCTCAGGTTTTGCTGTCCTTCTCTTATGACCCCATGGCAGTGGCACATAGACACACAAGCAGCCAGTGGCAAGTTGTGATGCCAAAAGGTCGGCGGAAAAGGTGAGAGACTCAGATCGTAGCTGGACCAGCTGGACCACTAGCTATGGTAGCTATGGTAGCTATGGTACCCATGGCTAAGGCGAGAGAGCGAGGCTGCTCCGTTGGAGCCTTGAGGGACTTTGGACCTCCATGTTTCATGGTAGCTGTTGCGATGGGTTGCCAAGGCCCGAAGCCCCACCAGAACTCCGCCCTGGACGACTGGATGGGGCCTTGGAAGCCGCAAATTTGAATGAGCCATCAGTTTCTGGTGGTGTTGATGTCACTGATGTCACTGATGCCCGTAATGCTTCAGGTCACCTTGACAAATTTGAAGCAGGCGGCCTCCCTGAACGGCTCGTGCGCCCCTCAGACCTGCGGTTTGGCCATGTTTCGTCATTGCTCTCGTGCTGAGGCGTGGGGTTCTGGAGCGCTTTGATGCTAGCTCTGGTCGATGGGAGGTTAAGCTGTTGAATACTGGCGATGTCAAGGCTATTCGTTGGGAGCTCAGCTGCTGTTTTTATGACTGATGTCGGAATTCTTGGGCAGTGGTTGAGGTCCTGACAACCTCCTGGCAGACTCTCAGGACTGGGATTTGGTATCAGATTTGGGCAATGTTTTTCTCTTTGGACAACGAATTTAAGATTTTTAGTTCTTTAGGAATATGTTATGGAAAATAATCCAGCATTTTGCATTTTCAGTTCCATGGTCGGGACGGGCTGTCCATGTCAGGAAGCGCAAGAAGCACCTCCTAGCCCGCCAGAGATAGCACCGAGGCTGGGGGCTGTGTGCTGGATCCAGCTCGGTGAAAGCCGAGACTAGCAGTGTTGCAACGTTGCACTGCAAAAGCCTCAACGCCATCCGAAAACAAAATTATGGACCACCAAAAAGGGTCAGAATTCATCTAACATCATCTAACATATGAATTTATCTCCCTTGGTTTAGTGTAGTTCCTGTAAACAGTTTGCCTGGCACCTTTGAGGTCTCCTCCTCCAGCGCCTTCCGCACGAAACCCAGTTGTGGAGGTGAACGTGTTTCATTCTTTCTTGTCCTCATCCTCATCCTCATCCTCATCCTCATCCTCATCCTCATCCTCATCCTCATCCTACTCCTCATCCTCATCCTCATCCTACTCCTCATCCTCATCCTCATCCTCATCCTCATCCTCATCCTCACTCCCCGCATCTACTCCTCAATCCTCATCCTCACCTCATCCTCATCCTCATCCTCATCCTCATCTCATCCTCATCCTCATCCTCATCCTCATCCTCATCCTCATCCTCATCCTCATCCTCATCCTCATCCCATCCTCATCCTCATCCTCATCCTCATCCTCATCCTCATCCTCATCCTCATCCTCATCCTACTCCTCATCCTCATCCTCATCCTACTCCTCATCCTCATCCTCATCCTCATCCTCATCCTCATCATCACCATCACCATCACCATCACCATCACCATCACCACCACGACCATGACAATGACAATGACCATGACCAGGACCATGACCATGACCATGACCATCATCATCATCATCACCACCATGACCATGACCATGACCATGACCATGACCATGACCATGACCATGACCATGACCATCATCATCATCACCATCATCATTCTCATCGTCATCCTCAGCCTCATCCTCATCCTCATCCTCATCCTCATCATCATCATCATCATTATCATCATCCTCATCCTCATCCTCATCCTCATCCTCATCCTCATCCTCACCCTCACCCCACCCTCATCCTCATCCTCCTCCTCCTCCTCATCCTCATCCTTATCCTCATCGGACTCCTCCTCCTCCTCCTTATCATCATCATCATCATCATCATTATCATCATCCTCATCCTCATCCTCATCCTCATCCTCATCCTCACCCTCACCCCACCCTCATCCTCATCCTCATCGGACTCCGTCATCCTCAATCCTCAATCCCCAATCGTACTCCTCCTCCTCCTCCCTCCTCCTCCTCCGCCTTATCATCATCATCATCATCATCATCACCATCATCATCTTTATCCTCATCATCCATCCTCATCATCATAATCATCATCATCATCAGCATCAGCATCAGCATCATCATCATCAATCACCATCATGCCATCGTCATCATCAGCCGTATCCTTCGTCCTCATCCTCATGATCCTGATCATCCTCATCCTCATCGGACTCCTCATCCTTATCCTCATCCTCTCCTCCTCCTCATCATCATCATCATCTCCTCCACCAGGGTCATCATCATCATCATCATCATCATCATCATCATCATCATCATCATCATCATCTGCATCATCATCATCATCATCATCATCATCATCATCATCATCATCATCATCATCATCATCATCATCATCATCATCATCATCATCATCATCATCATCTTCATCCGTATCCTCGTCCTCGTCCTCATCATCATGATCATGATCATGATCGTGATCATGATCATCATCATCATCATCACCATCACCATCATCATTCCCATCGTCATCATCATCATCATCACCATCATCATCATCATCATCTTCATCCGTATCCTCGTCCTCGTCCTCATCATCATGATCATGATCATGACTATGATGATGATCATCATCATCATCACCATCACCATCATCATTCCCATCGTCATCATCATCATCATCATCATCATCATCATCATCATCATCATCATCATCATCATCTTCAACATTTTCGTCAGCCTCATCTTCAACATTTTCGTCAGCCTCATCTTCAACATTTTCGTCAGCCTCATCCTCATTCTCATCCTCCCCCTCCTCTCCTCCTCCTCATCATCATCCTCATCCTCATCCTCATCCTCATCGTCATCGTCATCGTCATCCTCATCATCACCATCCTCATCATCAAATTCTAGCCATCAATCATCAATCATCAGTTATTAGTCATCATCATTAGCATCATCATCAGCAGTTTGAACATGTTTGAGCCATTGATCATGTATAGTATATTTACATATATTTACTGTTGCTATCTGTTCATAAATCCTGGTTAGGTAGACTGTTGATCTGTGAATCTTTCACTGGGCCAGGAGCTGACGGGTAGAGCCGGTGCCCGCTCCAGTGGTGCCCCTCCGCCTCCAGCCAAACCGGCGAGACGTTCGGGGGCCAAGGACTCCACTGTTTCAAAAATTTGTCTCATTGGGAGCTCAATGGTTTTTCGGATGTGTATAATATATATAATTATATATATATACATATATGATACACATAGGGGCACATATCCAATCATATCCACATGTGTTTTGATCGCGGCGGACATGTCAAACAGTTGCGATTATCCAAGTGGTAAGTTAATTGAATTGTCGTGGTTGGACTTAGGAATGGGCACCATCCGGTGGTACAACGGACGGCGGAGGCGCTAGCCGCTAGACTGTGCAACTGCACAATGGTTGCACAAATTTGAGCTGAAAACTGCCAGTTTATGCAAAAATGGAATGTTTTAGGTCATATACCTTAAGGTTAATCTTCACATGCTATGAGGCCTGTTGATATATCGATGTATTGAGTGGATGATATTTTTCAGAAGCCGCTCATTAGAGCTCATTGCTGCAACTTTTTGTCCTTGATGACGGAACTCATGCCAGTATTTCAGGAATGATCGAATCAACACATCAACTCGCTGACAGGCTAGGTGCCATCATTCCCGACAGTGAGGTTGGACTGGCTCTCGTAGCTAAAAGTTGCCTGTTGCCCCAAGAGCCACTAGCCGGTTGATTTGCTGGACTTTCCAATTTGTCCATAGGGGAAGATCAATCGGAATTGATCACAACACTAAGAGTGACTCCAAAGGTTAGCATCCATTTGTCATTTGTCCTTGATATTCCAAGAAATGATCGCACTTGGATGGTGAGATCAACTCATTCCCAACCTCCCCTCCCACAAGTGTCGGCATGGTGTCCAGCTGATCCAGGGCACTGATCTCTTCATTCCGGCCCAAGGGGCGCCCAATGGCTCCCAAGTGCCGCCGCAGTAGGGGCGCCCAGCCGGGCCCTGGATGTGGTGTTTCAAGGCTGATCGCGTCGAGGCCTGGGGGCCTGTTTCATGGGACGAGAGCTGGGAAGCTCAGCTGATCGTTTCAAAGGAGATCCGGTTCCATTATTTTGAGGACCAACAGGCTCCAGTGTTGAATCCCTTGGGTTTGTTGCTGAGAGGTAAGCTTCTTGCCCATGACCATCAAAGCCGATGCGGTGCCGCCCTCAACCACCTCCAATCGGTGCCAAAAGCAAGTCTAGTATCGTGCTTCGCTGAGGCCAATGGCAGGCAAAAGGCTGAGACGGTTGGATGCCCAAGAAGGAAGGGCCAAGACTCAGCCAACCGCGGATTTGATGATACTGCTTCGGCAGTTGCTCTGCTTGAACGTTTGCCGTTCCAATGCATTGGTTGGTTGGTTGGTTGGATGGATGGATGGATGCATGGATGGATGGATGGATGGATTTATTTGATGATGGGCCTGAGTCAGCGGCCTGAGGTGTGCATGGATGTGTGGATCTCAGTGGTATTTGTGGCCTTCTTGAGACTCAGAACTTATCATTGTGCATGTCTGCCACATGCACGACAGAGAGCCTCGAAGTCTCTAAGTGTTTCAGATGCCAAACCTGGCAGGTGCGGCCACTAGCAGGTCAACAGGGCCTTAGCTGTGGTGTCGACACCAATGCCGGAGCAAAGGACTCTTGGCGTTGTGACATGTTGCGATTGCGTTGCCTTCATTTTCTCACCACCTGACTTTGAAAGTTCAACACAGCAACCCACAAGGAACGCAACGATGATCGTGTGGCAGCACAAGACCTGCATGAGCTCGGGTTCCTGACGGGTATCTTTGATGGTCACAGAGGCACGGCACAGTTGAAGCCGTTGAAGCCCAAGGCCAAAGGAATTGGGCTGATGGCAAGCTGTGATGCATGTTGGGCCCGCAACGCTGCATAAGTAGAGGCATAATTCCGTTTCCAAAGGGCCTTTGACACCCTCTTCGCCTTGACACAGACAGGGGGCTGGCCTCACAGCCACTAAAAGCCACGAGATACTAATGGGCGCTTTAGGTACTACGATCCACATCCGATAATGAACTTGGGTTGTTGAACATGTTGTTGGAAATGTTGGACAAGCCACGCTCAACAGGTGGTTCTTGTGCCGAATTTGCTGTGTGACTCTCAGCTTTGCCACAGACATACTGCAACACCTTGCATGGAATTGCAGAGGGTAGGTCCGATGTCGGTCTTGTTGATCACCACCGTCTTTGGCGCAGGCGAAACAAGTTCCGCCTAATGTGCTATCTGCATACCGAACGCGTGCAAAGCGTGGGGTCCTCAGCGCAAAAAGGCGTGCTGGTTTCCTCTGGTGTCCGGAATTTACGTTCCACCAGAACCTGCTGGTTGAAAGATATAGCAACCATTATATGTATATTTATGTATATATATATATATATGTAGGGGCCAGATGGTGATGAAGAGAGAGATATAAGGGGAGGGATGGTGCAGGCAAACTGCATATAGGATTGCAAATTCAGCATTGTGGACCACCAATGGCCTATGGCCAGCTCATGTGGTGCTGAGGAGAAGGAAGTCTGGTGAAACTCTCTGCCGAAAAGGAGGCGGAGCTGGGTGTCCAGCTTTTGTCGATGCCATTGGGTCTGCAAAATCCACCAAGGATTGAAGTGAGTACCGGGATTCTAAAGACAGAATGTCAACGCAGGAATTAACATCCCCTAGCTTATTAATGAGGAGAAGGTACCAATTTTAATAGACATTTATCACTACTTTGGGGGGAAGCCCCCGATAAAAATTGTCAAGGTTTAGTCTCATCCGGACATGAGAGTGACCATGAGGTTGTCAGCTGTTGACAGGCAGCTTTAATTGCAGAGTCCTTGGTGGAGAGCTTCGAGGTGTACAATTTGTTGCCTTTGCTGGTGCTGGTTGCGTCATATTTCCAGGGGGCAAACTTGTCATAGTAGTCATAGTTGAAGATCAGGATGACATTCTCGCAATTTCGTTTCCAAAAAGCATAGGCAGCGAACATACTTGGAAAGAGATGCCCAGTTGAAACAAGTCTTCATCATGTCATATACGTCATTTTTTCCAACCTTTTCACACGTCAGGTGACAGACAAGGCCGGAATTTTCTCTTGACATGACATCGCAAAGGCTAAATTGGCTAAAACAGTGAATCAACTCTGGTCAGAGACAATCCACTTCGATCCAGAAATCCAACTTGTTTCCAAAGTGATATTGTTGTGACTACTGACACTGGCGCCTTTAAAGCCAGGCATGGCTGCAGTCTGCCAAGAAGAAGGACATCCAAGAGGGTTCCACCGGCATCGTGGCGTTGGTCTCCCACGGCTTCACGGCTCCAGTCGAAACAAAAGCCCCCACGGGCTGTGCTGCCCTGTGGCCCAAGCCGAAGGACAGTCCCGGTTTTGGGTCCCATTTGGGGACAGATCCAAGACGAAACCAGGGCTTCTGGGCTTCTGGGGGGGGCATTTATTTGAACTTTATGAATGAACCAGGGGTTCTCACAGTTGAACCATTGGATACATTGGCATCATTTGGCCATGCTTCGCCTAGTGAATTCGACGCTTAGACGTTCTGCTTCCCTTCCAAGTCGCAGAGAGTCGGCAACATGCAGGAAGAGCCAGTTCCTGAAAAACAGCCTGGGACTGTTGCTGGCTGCTCAGAATTACAAAGTAGAAAGTATGGATCACCAACTGGCACAAGCTCGCTTCTCCATGCTTCTCCTCCATCCACCTCCCAGGCCAGAGCAGTGGGAGGTGTCCAACCCTTAGTGGCAACATGCGGGTCAAAATTTTTGGACCCGAACATGGATCATTTGCGTGTCCAAAACTGGACTTACTTCAACGAGTTGACCCATGATCGTTTAAACGCCGGGCATAAGAATAGACACGGACACACAAATCAGCTTGTTAATCATCATTTTCCCATTCAACCGGGCCATTTTGGGGTCTTCCCCAGCTTTGACACGTTTTAAAACACCATTTGGCACGACTTTTCCAGCTCCACCCAGCTGCTTTGCTGAGGTGGCAAAGCTCTTTGTGGCCTGGGCAGGTGACTGTCGAGCCGTGTTGCTGAGAGGTCGTGGGGAACCAAGCGGTCAAGCGTTCCATTTCCGCCTGGAGACTGGAAATGGAGGGGGGGCCAGAAAAGCATCGAAAAGGATCAACACTTTAGGACCTTTAGGACCTTGATATTTCATGATGTTCATGTTTTCATATGTTTTCATATGTTTTCTTTCTGAGAACGTGCTTTGAAGGCTTTGAACATGATGCACTTAATGCACTTGGTGATGTTTCATGAGTCCCCTCAAGGTCCGGCACGGTCCTGTTTCAGTTGGGCTCCCAGCTCCCGTCGACCACCTCGCCTGCGTTTGGCCTTTTAGCCGGCATGGATCAGACACCGGCACGGTCCAGACGGGCATCCAGATGCAGCTTCCTGGATGAAACTCCGGGGAAGGTGGCGAAACCCGCCAGGCAAATTGTGGCCATGGATGTGGTGAAAGGCAAGGAAGACATAGGGAAGCTGACTGGAGGAAAGGGGATTTGGATGGGGGTTTAGAAAGGGTTGGAGCGATGGAAGGCCAAAGCAGTTTATATATAACCGTTTTTTCAGCAGATTGCATCAAAAGATATCAAAAGTGTTGCACTGCTTAAGATTCTTGCCTTAAGAATCATCCAGTCCTAGCTGAACCCTGCAGGAGATGTGGTTGCCAAAGAAGATCCGCCCAAAGTGAACATGGTGACCGGAGCCACTACTGGAACTGTGGTGCAGCCAGAGGAAGAGGTTTCCAGGACAGTGACGCTGCGGAGTGACGCCCCAGGGGAGATGCCGACCTTCGAGTTGGATGGCATCACCTACCGCGTGCGGGACATGGACGCCTGGCATGAGAAGGCCGAATACGCCTGTGGGCGTCAGGTCAGCTTGGCGGAGCTGAAGAAGCAGCGAAAGCGCAGCGTGGAGAAATCTGAGACCATGAAGCCATGAAAGGAGTGAAAGGAGTCGGGGAACAGAAGCTCTCCGTAGCTTCTGCAGCCAAGGGGAGGCTGAAACCGGGGCAACAGAAGCATTGCCTAGCAGTGCTGTAGCCAAATGAGGACCTGAGTGCCAGCGGAAAAAGATATGCCCCGTGCTCTGCAATGTTGAGCTGCAGTTTGCGTGCTGGGTTGGACTGGATGCTGCCCTGGAGCCACCGGCCATGTGGATCAACGGCCTTGCAAGGTCAGGGCTTGCGCATTTCCGAAGATCATCGGCCTCAACGATCCCTGGTTGAAGAAGCATTCCATAGCATTCCTCTGTTTTGGTTCCCACAGTTAGGCCTAAATTGCGAAAAAATCAAGAGACATGACAGGGACAGAGTCGTGTGCAGGTGCCGATGAGAAGCGAAGAGTGTTGGCCTCAGGTTGATTGCACACACAGCTACTCTGAGCTCAAATTTCGTTTTGGTTGGCATGTGGTGCAGAATGGGCCACCTAAAGCTCCTTGAACACCATTTATATAATTAAATCTCGATTCTGGATTTCGATGCTCTCATTCCTCAGTTTTCTTTTTTTCCCCGGTGTTTGACACAGGTAGCAGATGGTAGCAGCATACCTGGCATACCCTCAGTTTTTGCCTTATTCGAAGCTTCGAAGCCTGGCAGATCGAGAAAGCTGGTGGCCTGGTGGTCCGCGACGCGCACAAAGTGTGGCGCGTTGGGCCTGGATCCTCGTGAGGGCTTTGGAGCCTGATATGGGGATGGCAGGGATGGCTGATGACAGATGTTGGCCTAACATATACCAACAACATCCAACAACATAAAACATAATAACTAATAACAGCATACAGCATATAGCATATATAACAATAACAAAAGTACAACAAAGCCACACCTCTGTTGGTCTTTAGGTGTTAAACATGAACCGGAAAATCAACAGCACCTGTCGGGATACTGGCCGTGGCAGATTTCCACGACGGCTCCCAGATGCTCCCAGGCCGAGACCCGAAAACAAAATGGCCAAGGAACTGCAGAAGGACGGAAGGGGCAGCGTCAGGTGGAGAAATTTCGGCAAGATTTATTAGTTTTAACACGGACGCAATCCTATCAATAATCCATTTGCAATGGATCTCCCATCCATATTCCATTAATAATGCTATGTTAATTTTAAACACCACCATTGTTGGGGCCAAATGATCCAAAATCCAAATGTATTGTTTCATTCCCTCTTGAACCCACGGTTTCTGGGTCTGGGGACTGTTTAATCTTGGGGTTTGGGATGATGAGAATTTTTGCTCAACTTTCACTGGACCCCAGAAGGACAGTTTTGGGTCCTTAGATGATCACTACTTGACAGGGCAAGAAGGAGTCCCAGCAGATGATGTGGTCCGGAAACTTAGTGACGGGATAGATCTGGTTGCACAACAGACCCGACTATTCTTCCCAGAATCGAAACCTCACTTTCACCCATTTTCATTGGAAAAAAAACCGCGGGTTTCCTGTTGATGTTTTTCCCTGCCATTTTCACATTCGGGTCTGAAGGTTTTTGTCCACCTGCCGGGGCTTTGGAGACCCGACCTTCAAACATCCAGATCCAATCGTGTGGAGCTGAGTTTCAAAATGACCGGAAGAAGATTGGAAGATTGGAAGATTGGAAGATAGGGGAGTGTTTCCCTGAACTAAGAGCTCTGAAATCACAGTTTTTCCATTTTTTGCTCTGGTGTGGAGCAGCGATTGCAGGTGACCGCCACTCCAGACGTCAAGGTTGTTGACTTGGTGCGACCCTGCAGCTGTCACCTGCGGGAGCTAAACCGTGCCGAGACCGTGTTGTTGTTTGGCCGTTGGATGCAAGTAGGTGCGATCCTTGTGGCATTCCAGCCAATCGACGAAAATTGAAACAAACCCTGTTTAAAACCCCCAAGCAGCGGAGGAAACTCTTTAAATTCTCCCGCTCAAACAAGTCTCCAGATATATCAGATATGCACAACGCAGGTGCCAGAAGATTGGGCCTGTATGCTGGCGAGCGATGGGGTTTTCGACGCTCTCAGTGACCAGGCGGTTCCAAGATGCTTTGCAGATCTTGCAGCGAGTACACTCGAGCCCGTGGAAGGTCTTAGCCGCCTTAGCCTTCCTACTTTGAAGAGTCTGAGTTTTTTTTTGGGGCATGATTTTGATGACTCTTGGAATCTCTTGGATGATTTTCGAATTGTTTGGAATGTTGACCTTCCATGCAAGAAAATAGGAACTTGGGAGGATTTCTCCGCTGTCTCCAGCATCTCCAGCTGCTTGAACAGGAAGTGGCCGACATCATTTGGCGGTGCATGGCCAGTGGGAAAGACGCCGTCAGGTGGGTTTGGGCACACTGGTTTATTGTTTCGAACCGCCTATATACGAGCTTCTTTGTTTCATCGTTTCATGACTTTGCTTGATGTTTAGAGACAGAATGGCACTCACATGGTCGGATGTATGTAAACACGCACACACACACAGACACATAATCTATCTATCTATCCATCCATCCATCCATCCATCCATCCATCCATCCATCCATCCATCCATCCATATATCTAAAATCAATGAATGTATGTACATATTACTGTAGTATAATCGTTGGTCCTTTCCCGACTCAATCGTTGGAGTTTCGAGTCAATTTTTCCTGTGAGGGCTGCCAAGGAGGTGGTCAATACCGCTCTGCGGAAAGGAAGCCGTGGGCTTCTCAGTGGGTCCAAGTCAGCACTTGGACATGGGGGTCCAGGTGAGATGCACTTAGAGACATATTCATCACATGTATTTATGTAAGTAACTGTAAGTAATGTACATATAATAATTTTGGTAAATGTAAGTAACCAACAAATAAGTCAGTAAATACACACTTGAAAGACTGTATCTCGTCTATGAGTCTTTTCATTCCCAACAGGATACCTGAACTGATTCTGCTGTTTACATGCTTAGTTCAGGAAGGCCGTCTTTGTCCACATTGGACAAAAGTCGCAGAAATGGGTAAATACTGGAAAATGCGTAACGGACTCCGATTTCTCGAATTATTCATGCATATGATAAAAAATAATAACCGGAAAGTCAGCAAAAAGCTTGGATAATGAAAGAACATCGTGACCAACTGCAGGTACGTCAGGGTGATCAGCCCTGATATCCCATCCAAGACCGTAGCTTCGTTGCACACGGTGGGTCAAGGATGCCGTGTGCCCCTGCTTGTAAATTGGGAACTGAAACTAAAAATTGGACATGTGATAAAAATTGGACATGTGATAAAAGCCCTTCGGAACAGGGGTTGCCCCCACACACAAAGGCCGTATGTCGCGAAAATATACTGTTGCTTTCAGCAACGGTGATCTTGAAAAACTGGTGATTTTGAAAAAACTGGTCCCGCGAACCCCACCCCTGCTGGGAAATTGGAAACTGAAACGAAAATTGAACAAGTGAAGAAAGTTGGAAACAGAAACTAAAATTGAACCTGAGAGGAAAGCCCTTCGGAACAGGGGTTGTCCCCACACACAAAGGCCGTATGTCGCGAAAACATAGCATCCATTGCTTTCAGCAACAGTGATTCTTGAAAAAATTGGGCCCGTGAACTCCAAAGTGATTCCATGGCGAGAGTCTCAGAAGCGAGTCATAATGGTAAGGCAAAATTGAGCCAAACATAGAGGCAAAAAATGTATTACAGGATGTTCATCCATGAAGATGTCAGGGCAAAACGGACAGCAGCAATGTTTACTTACTCTGGTTGAGTGCTTGATCAACGTCAGGTTGGGAAAAACCTTTCTGTACATATAAGGCGCCCAGCTGCGTCAAGCTACTGGAGATCAAACTGGTCGGGTACGTGTATTTTCGAATTAAATGAGCCCGGCTTTTTAATCCACTCATTCTGAGTCGGAGTGATCCCGCAGAGACGCAATCTCTGATCTGACTGATGTCAGGTTGACGATATTCAACAGTGCGTCTGTCAACATCAACAGCAAACCCAAGAAGCATATTGTCTTCAACTTTTTCTAGTTCAACTGGATGCCCGTAAAAATCCAAGTCACAAAAAGTCGTAAGGGCATCGCAGGAGTTAAAATTGGAAGAGAACATCAAAAAACGATTGTCCACGTAGCGAATTGAACATAGATGCAAGCTCGGTTGTTCCAACACTTGGGCAAAAGTTTCTTGCCAACTGCGCTCAATAATGGTAACTGCGAGATTTGACAGGGACGGTGATATCTGGCTGCCGATTCCGGCTCCACGAATTTGACGCCAAATGCATCCTAAGGCGGAAAAAATATGAGAACTCAGGCTGGACTGAACGATTTCTACAATGTCTGTGACGTGTAGTTTTCGAATCTGAAACGCCGTGCGGCGAAATGAACCTGAAAACGTGGAATGTACTGGATCTCCATGAGCCGAGGTATCCACAGAGATAGTGATTGAGTCCCGACCCTCAGGAAAATGATCTAGATGGTTTTCAATCCAATGTTCCACCAATTGGTGTACCGCATCCAAAAGTCTAGTTTGTGGCACAGAGTTTAAAAAGCCAACTAGGTCGTCGTTCACAAATTGAAGTCGCGCCGCTTCATCAGTAACATCAAAATAAGCGTGAACTTTGCTCCAGATTGGTGGTGTGCTCAATTGTCCAAGATCTTGTGGCCATATTTGGCGACACATTGAGTCCAATGCTCTGCTAGTCGCTTTGAGCAACTTGGCTTGATAACTTTTGTGATAGCTGATCAACGTGCGGCCTTTGGCCCACTGTTTTTTGCGCTTCAGAAAAACAAATCCATACGGAAGGAGAGCTCCTTTCCGAAAACCCCAGGGGTATCTTCGAATCAGTCGTTTGGAAAAAGCTCGATGGATTAATTTCTGAGCGTCCCCGATGCTGATGGGAAGCTTTTCAAACAGTTCCTTATCTAGCCAGGTTTGCATTGCCCCGTGAAAGTACAATTTGGGGCAGGAAACAGTGATACAAAATTGTTCATGATCACCGTGATGAAGTACACAGTTATACGGCAGCCATCTCAGCAAATTCTGTACATCTCGAAAAGTCAGTCGTGGATGATGATCCAAAGATTGAAGATGAAGCTTCCATTGATCATGCATGAACTGTTGAAATGGAGTCGAAAGACCTGGAGGTAGGCCGTGATGTCTGAGCCACTGTTGAAACTTAGGCTGAACTCGCTCCAGGAAAGATGTCTTCGATAAATAATATGTCGAATTGGCATTCACATCGGAAAATACTGCCAGAAACTTGGGTAGTTTCAAATCCTCCAAATTAACAGCAAGATGTTGTTGAGGATCCACGTCATAAGTACAATGAAGTCGTAAAAAAGAACAGCAACATGGCAATTTGTCCGGGTCGGTGGCGTCCCACCATGTTTCAGCTTTTCGATGATTGTGCAAAAATTCCCGAACTTTGGGATACGCTGCTTCACGCAAATGTTGAGTAGGCAGGTACAATGGTAACGCCATGTCTTTTGAATTCACAATGATATTGCGTAGCCAACGTTGAACATTGATTTGAAAATCATCATGAGACAAAAATGGAATGCTCCAGGGCATGTTAGTTCTGGGAACTGTAGCGTTTCTAAACTGCAACGCTTTTGAAAGGAGTCCCCGAACACGGGATCGGCCAGGCTCTTCCATGTGCAAGGATAATCTGTATAATACATACACTTCAAGAGTATGAAACTCTCCGGATCGAATTCTTTGACATGTCTCATAACTGCTTCGAGTATGGAGACTCAAAAGGTACAGGATTTGCCAGGCTTTTTCTTGGCAGGAGTGAGCGCTTGGAACACTGCCAATAGTCCGAAGACGTCTGCGTAGCCTTTGGTACAATCGAGGCCCCAATTTGATTGGGGGGGAGCGGTTGGCTTTAAACTGAAGGGTCCAACCCTCGGATTTTAACCTCAAAACTTTGGAAATAAATGGATGGTTTAGCATGGGTTGCCAATAACTGATCAAACAATGTTCGCGAACCCACGCTTGTTCATAGGTACTGTGAGTTTCCAAAACTATCAAGTTATACAAAGAAAAGTTCTTGTGGGACTGCCAGTACCTGATAGAGAGTTCAACATTAACGGCTTGGCCTAGACCGAGTTGTTTCAACTTGGCTGACCGGTTGAAATCTCTTTTGCATGCCGATATGGATGTAGATCCAACGTAAAAATGGCCATGCTGATGATATACCGGCTTTTCCGGTTGAAGCGGATGAAATGGCAGTTTGACGTAAACTGCACATTGGACTTGAAAAAACGGATAGGTGTACATCTCAGGGCACACTCCCAACAGATTCAACCGATTGCGCCACTTACGAGATTCCAATGTGGTCGCGGAAAACTTTGACAAAACTAGGACATGAATCAAACTGAGGGCCCACATTGCCAAGGATTTAGGTATGTTCGGAATACAATGAATGCAAAAAGAAAACGCCTGCTGGAGATTCACCAAGATTTCAAAAAGTTTCAAACGGGGAATCTCCTTTGAACAGTACCCTAGTCAAGCACACAAGGCTGCACCGATACCAATGATCTGGTGCATGCTGCGGGGTGCCAACTTGAAAGTGAGCTCAATACCGAGTCCGTATTTGATGCAAGCTTCTTGAAGCTTGGATTTGGGAATATCGGCATCACGGACTGACTGAGTGAATTTGATGGCAGCGTCCCGAGTTTCTCTGGGAAAGCTTTCCACCCACTTTTTGATCGTGGGATCAGAATGGCCACCGAGGACATGGTCCTGAAGTGCTGGGGACTGAGGACGTAAGCACTCCTCAGCTTGGATGACTCGGTCATCTGGGCTCTTCTCAGGACACTCTACGGAAAACTCCTCAATATGATCCTCACTGGATTCTACTGTGGTTCCGGCTCCAGTTGGATTCTCCGGTCTGGAGCTCTTCGAATCATGCTTGGGTTTCCACAAGCTCTGGAGGGTCTTAACGGCTTCAACTGGCAAGGTAGACTTTGTCTGCCGAGCTCGTTTCTTGGGAGTTGCGCCAAGTCTTTCCGATGGCTCTCTCTTCTTGGATGCAGCGGGTGATAAATTCTGCTCCGAAACTGATGACGGCGTATGGCCTTGGGAGCTCATCTCAGCGAGCTTCCTCTGGGCTTCTCGGAGCTCGTGCTCTACATGCTGCAAACGTCGAACCGCTGTGCCTTCTGTCTTTTGTGGTTGAAGAGACTTCATACGGGAAACCAAATCAGCAACAACAGGGCACAAAAACTCAACCGGCGAATCTTGTTTGGATGGCACTGGTTTTGTCGGAGATTGAGTTCGGTGAAGATGCTCCGCAACTTCATCGATATCAATGTTGCTGTCTCGCATGCTTTTTAGCATTTGAGCACAGAAAACGGATTCGGCAACTGTACGAGTGGTCACTACTCCAATGAATCTTCCGGCGCTAAAAGGTCGAAGGCTGAATTCTTGAGTGCCATAGCGGCACAAGGCTGCCAACGGAACTTGGAGCGGATCCATGCCGTGGAGACCTCTTTTGCGGCTCCAGGCTGTCGGTTGAATTTGCCGGTACATGGGATATCCATGCATCACATTTTCATCGTAGTGAGTAGAAGAAGGGGACCAATGTGATGGAATGGCTGGCTTCCAAGACCAGTCCTGATGGGTTGGCCATGCGGAATCATCCCAGGTGTTATCCCAGGTGTTCCATGCCTGAGGGCTCCAACGTTGAGACATGGCTAACAGGGTCGAGCCTATGTTTCTTGGGACGTGTCGGCAAACTGGGCTGAGATTCACAGAGAAAGTGCTCAGTGATTGACAATCACAGAAAAATATTCTTAGTTATGAGAATTCACCGAGAAAAAATATTCAGCGATTGAAATCATTAAATTCAAAAAAACGAATGAAACCATCGAAATAATATGTTCGATCGACAGGCGCCATATGAAATGGAAAATGGAAAATGAAACAGCTCAGAAACTTGGACACAACATTTCAAAGTGACAAAATTCCGGCAAACATCGTGCAATCTCTGAAAACGTCCATCAGCAACGTCAAGCATAGCAAGCTGACAGTATTTTTATCGTGGTGGCGTCCAATCCGTTTCAGGATTAGAAAATGCAGAATGGTTGAAGGATGAGGCAAACAACATGGATCAAGTAAAGACTGCAAAATTCAGTATGAAAAAACAACAAGGTGAATGAAATTCAGAAAAACCTGACCGGAGCTTGGGAATCAGATCGCCAAGCGATGCCTGTCAAATAGTGGCTGCGGGTGTTTATCACCCACATGCGGCCACGTTTGTGATGCACGCATCCTTGCGAATTCGGGCCACGGGTGAGGTCAATGCACTCACCCTCTCCGCCATTGTGCACGGTTTTTCCTGTGCCCCAGGCTAGGCCCACAAATATGGCACCGCATTCGTTCTTGCTGAGATTCGTCCCATTGTGCAAGATACGACCTAATTCGTGCGCCTCCCACGAGGTGTATCCTACTTTGAATCCCTGAGCAAAGAAACTTTCACTTTCTGCAAAGTGGAGTTTGCTAGCTGCCAGCTTACCTTCTTTGAGAATGGCAACAAAATTACCAAGTTTTGTGGCATATGTGAAGGCCAGATGGATGATTTCATCGAGGCCTCTGTCTGGTGCCGCCCGTCTGGGTATCGGTGGCGTCCCTGCTGGAAGGTTGGCTCTATCATACAAAATTGAGATCGGCAAAAGGTAAAAATGCTCCATTGGAGCTGGTTGGTCAGATCCCTGATTCCATCCGTAATAGCTGGGATCATACGTGGCCATTCTCATGGGTCCCAAATCTTGTGACAAAATGTCAGCCTGTGCCAGTAGCTTGGCTACATGTTGCAAAAAGGCTTCAGAAGTGGGATGTTCCTTGACTTGTTGACTCAAGAGGACTTCAAACAAGGAATATTCATGATCATTTAGTGGGACATGGCCTGACGGCGTGCTCGAAATCGGAAACGCATTAAAAGGAGCACTACCTAGCGGCGCATTTAAAGATGCATTCGGAGCACTACGTACGGTCTGTGGCACCACTGGACGGGGTGGTGGTGGCGGCGGCGGAGGTCTTGCTTGAAATTGGCCGCTGTGACCGTAAATATCAAATACTCCAAGTGAAGTTTCCCAATTCCCTGGTGGGTATGTATGATGGGCTTGCTGTAAAGAGCGAGCCTCTGATCGAACTTCACTGACACTAGGTCCTGGGGACCGAGATCGTGCACGGCTATCGGATCTAGATCTCGTTTGACGAGGTCTACGGGATCGAGAAGATCTGGATCTCAGTGGTGGAGGTTGTAAAGGTGCCAAACTTCTCGGTGCAGCTGGTGGTCTACCGATTTTCTGTGCACCTTCAAGGACTACAGACATTGGTCCCGGTGGTCTTCTAGGGGGATCGAAACTTGCAGTACCATCAGTAATTGGCAGCGCAGGTCGGACCTCACTCTTGGGTCTCACCGTCGAAACCACGGCAGCCGGTGCTCGAGGCGGTGGTGCTTTAGCCGCCTGACGGCTGTAGTCCCCTGCAATGAAATACACATTGTATGACATGGCTGCAACTCTACGTGTCGAAAATGGAAAATGGAAAATGGAAAACCATGACGACATACAATTAAAAAGGAAAATGGAACATGGAAAACCATGACAACACACAATTAAACAAGTTCAGCTGTACAAGTATCAACGTGTGATACGTTTGCAGTGATTGGCTTCATGAATGAACGTGAAAAACATGTCGGTAGAGCCAGGATGTCTGTACAGAAACTGAAAGCTGAAGTACCGTGAAAACACTGCATCGAAATTATCACTGATCCGTCCTACGAGTAAGTCTAAATGTTCTATTGCTGTTTTTTCTGCTTTGTTCTTTTTTGGCGACTCATAGTTGTTTCAGAGGAGGGCCCGAAAGCCTTTGTTCAGGAATAACCCCGAATGTTCAGAGTGAATCAGAGTGAATCAGAGTAATTCAGAGGCACAAAGTGCAATCAGAGATTTTCAGAGATTTTTCACAGATTCTTCAACGCCTGAGAAAACATGCACGACAATTTCCATGGAGATCTTCGATCTCCGTTGGAAAGATCTCCGTTGGAAAGTGGAACTCCGTAGTACGAATTACTCATCTCGAGGGGACGGAAGGGAAAATTAGTCCCAAATCATATCGGATACGGTTCAAAGAAATACCGATGGCTACGATTCATGGTCAAAACGACCCAGTGGTATTGCCTTGTTGTTTTTTTCTGGACAAGGACCAGACATACCCCCATTTTTTGGTGGTGGAAAAGTTGAGGGCCGAAGCCAAATCAGAGGGATACTGTTCACACGCCGGCAGTTACCGGATCACGACAGGACCATGACGGAATCTCTGCCGAATACACACTTGAAAGACTGTATCTCGTCTATGAGTCTTTTCATTCCCAACAGGATACCTGAACTGATTCTGCTGTTTACATGCTTAGTTCAGGAAGGCCGTCTTTGTCCACATTGGACAAAAGTCGCAGAAATGGGTAAATACTGGAAAATGCGTAACGGACTCCGATTTCTCGAATTATTCATGCATATGATAAAAAATAATAACCGGAAAGTCAGCAAAAAGCTTGGATAATGAAAGAACATCGTGACCAACTGCAGGTACGTCAGGGTGATCAGCCCTGATATCCCATCCAAGACCGTAGCTTCGTTGCACACGGTGGGTCAAGGATGCCGTGTGCCCCTGCTTGTAAATTGGGAACTGAAACTAAAATTGGACATGTGATAAAATTGGACATGTGATAAAAGCCCTTCGGAACAGGGGTTGCCCCCCCACACACACACACATATATATATGTACACATGTATGTAGATAATTGCACACGCACACGCGCAGAGATACAAACTAGTTAGTTTCTTAAGTGCTATAAATGGATATGGAAGCGCTGGTTTGAGACAAGTTGCTGGCGCCACCCTGGAGTTGTTGCCATTGTGAGCGGCTAGGTGACAACATCACAGCGGTGATTTGTCGCTTTGGCTGGGTTTCCTCCTGAGCGGATTTGGTAAAAAAAACCGAAGATCACCCGATGAAGCAGAGAAGTTTAATGGGTCAGCACCAAATCACACCAAATTGCAGCAAGATGTTTGGGATGTGAACTGCGCCAGTTTATATATACTAACCTGCACCTAGGACCTAATCTATCTATCTAACTATCTATCTATCTAACTAACTAACTAGCTAACTAACTAACCAACCAACCAACTAACTAACTAACTAACTAACTAATCTTATTTATCAGACTATCTATCAGGCTATCAAACTATCTAATCTATCTATCTATCTATCTTTCTATCTATCTATCTATGTATGTATGTATCTATCTATCTATCTACCTATCTACCTACCTATCTACCTATCTACCTATCTACCTATCTACCTATCTACCTATCTACCTATCTATCTATCTACCTATCTACCTACCTATCTACCTATCTACCTATCTACCTATCTACCTATCTACCTATCTATCTATCTACCTACCTATCTATCTACCTATCTATCTAATCCTATCTAATCCTATCTAATCCTTTCTAATCCTATCTAATCCTATCTAATACTATCTAATCCGATCTAATCCGATCTAATCCGATCTAATCCAATCCTGTCGTATCCTGCCGATCAATCTGCCTATCGGCACATCGTGGTGCCTCAGGCGAGCCCACCGGCCTTCGATCAAGCGGCTGCGGCTGTGTTGCCTGCAGGCGTAGCTGTGCAACAAGGATTGATTTGCAAAATTTCGGCCCTGTTGAGAACTCACCTGGCCAGCAGTCTTTGCCATTGACCCCACAGCATCCTTTTATTTATGACTTCATTCCTATCAATATCCATTCCTCACTGCAGGGATTTGGCTGCAGGGATTTGAGGCAGAAAGGTCTGAATTCATGCTCCATGTTTTTCGAGAAAGGCTTGGAGAGCATTGGTGCTTTCGCCCCACCGCCAGAGTTGGCTGCTAAGCTTTGAGAACTCATGACGGTCCATGCTCCTGAGACTCTCATTGCGTCTTTGGCCGTTTAGCCAGGATCCAGTTCAGAGATTGTGATTGGCTTATCAAAGTAGCAACTTGGTTTCCTGACTTGCTGTGTTTTTTTTCTGAGGACACCTTTCTTCCACAGACTCCGTGAAACTTTTTCGGTGCCATTTCCAGCTCAAAGTCTGGGGAACCTGGTGCCCGTCCCCGAAAGGCTGTGGGCCTTTGCTCCAAACATGCCGGAGAAGGGGAAAGAGGCCAGCAAGAAAGGCAAGGAGCCCTTCATCCAGCAGTATGAAGTGAAGGATGTCTTCCCACATTTCTGTGACCGCAAGACCAAGCTCTTGGCCCTTCAGGATGTGCCTTATGTTCTGAGGGCCATGGGGCTCACGATTTATGTGGATGAGGAGAAGGGCATCCGAGAGCAGTTGGAGAAAGTGGATGGAATGGGCAAGCCTGTGTCCCTTCAGACCATGCAGAGTTGGGTGGAAGAACATGGAAAGAACTACGTGAAGTCCTATGACGATGCCTATTCCGCCGTGGGTACCCTTTGCCATGAAGGCATCATCGGTGACAAGTCAGGCAGAATTCAGATCAAGCACCTGCAGCATTTGGTCAGTGAAGTCGGTGACAAGATCAGTGTGGAGTCCTTCAAGAAGATCATGAAGGGCGGAGATTCAGCAGTCGCAGTGGGCATAAAGGATGAAAGCTGCTCTTTGGATGAATTCCTCACCTTCCTCCAGAAGTGATACTGAGGCGGAAGGCCGCTGCGTGTAGACGCTGTAGATTACTGTAATGGACAGGGAATCAGTTGACTTCACTCTATGCACAATTGACGGAGGTATCTGACGCCTCCAAGACATGAGAGATCAGCCAAGCGGAACAGGGCAAAAAATGAGGGATTTCAAGAGTTGCCAACTAAGCAGCGCGCAATATGCGACCGGTTTCAGTGGGTTTCACAAAGGGCAACCAGCACTGCAGCGTTGCAACAGCTAAGGCCTTCTGATGATGTCAACATGTTTGGGCTTGGCACTTGCACATCTTGCACTGTCGTCATATCTCCATGGCTTCAATTTGTGAGTTGGTGAGTCCATCACAATGTCATCCACCATTTCTGAGGTGAATTGCTTGGTGATTGTCCACTTCTTAGCACCCTTAGGACCCCAGAGGATCAACCCCCTGAGACAGAAGTCACTTAGGTATTGCTGCTGTTTGCGGCCAAGCGACAGAGTGGAAGGGCCGAAGGGCCAAAAAACAGTCCGATAACTTGCTGTATCATGTCACTGTGCATATTGTGCATGACACAGTCAATCCAAGAATCCTTCAGGCTTTGTCTTCGCTCAAAGGGCAATAACTACCTGGACCTTGTGGACCTTGTTGACAATCTCATCCAGATCTTTGCTTTTCAGAGCAATTGGGTGAATATTTAAAAGCCGATCCCATATGGGGCCAGTTCTCACACGGATTCTCACATCAATGCCTTCACCAGCTGTTAACGCCCCCATGACGTGTTCTTGTTCAATCACTGATTGGGTTTGACAACTCATGCAGTTTCAGGAGATGATTCCCGTTGAAGCAAGTCAACCAATTGAAGCCGTAGAGGCTCAAAAGTGAACATAGATGCTCGCTGTACCGGCTGTAGCTTCTTATCCGCTAATGTTTGGGACCATTTTTGGGCTTTTAAAAGTGAGACGCCGCTTTAGGAGATGCAATGCCGTCTTTATGCAGTACAGATCAATTAAACGGCTGACGTACAACCCCTACCACACAGTTTGTGGCTGCCAAAACCCATTGGTTTAGCCGAGCCCTCCCCAACTTGCATTTCTTCAAAGGATTTAGACTTTGAGGCCAGCTGCACATAGACAGAGGGGACTTAGAAGAAAACTGCTCCAGAGCCATGGGCTTAGCATCTCGCTTGGTTGCGCTCTCCGACCGTGCTATCCTGCGGGTTGCAGGTTTGGCAGGGATAGCTGCGCCGAGAATACAAATAGTCAAGATTAATTGGGTAGCAGCCTCGAAACTTCCACCTACACACCCTCTGAGAAGCAAGCTGGATTAGTGCTGCTGCCGGGTTCTTGCTTCTTTGAAAGGGCTTCAATGCACCAGTGGCGGTTTTGCAAAACTCCGAAGCCAACAATGCTGCCTTTGGATGCCTTTGGTGCTGTAGGAATTACCTCAGAGAAACTGCATTTGAGTTAACCTATTCATGTTAGTAAGATTCAAACTACATTCCTCGTCACCTGTAATCATTTAGGACATCCACCACTATCTCGAGTTATACAATCAGTTTTCATAATTTCAAGTTCTTGATCATGAAAGGTAGCTCCAGTGGGGCTTTGCTTTACGAAGTCAAGGGGAGGGCAGCCAGCCCCGTTACCTGATTATTCACGAGATTGCTAGTATTTCCCCTCTGCGCCCCCAACGCACCCTAAGAGCAGACCCAAACGCTGTAATTTGCAGTATTTTTATCCTTTTCGGATATAGAAGCTACATCTTGCAACATGGTGGTGAAACCTGCGTAAATACCAGTGTTTGTGCTAGGTGCTGGCCAAACAACTTTGTAAATATCGTGACTTTTGCAACCAGAGGCAAAAAACTTTGTAAATACCTTAGTTTTGGGCTTCCGACCTGCCAAAAACATCCGTATTCACGGTGTTTTTTGCTCCGAGAGTTGCAAAAACACGCAAAAACACCACCTATACGGGACAGACAAAAAAGCTGCAGGGGCAGCAGCAGCAGCAACAGCAACAGCAACAACAACACCACCACCACCAACAACACCACCAACACCACCACCAACAACACCAACAAACACCACCAACAACACCAACAACACCAACAACACCAACAGCACCAACAACACCAACACCAACAACACCAACAACACCAACAACACCAACAACACCAACAACACCAACAACACCAACAACACCACCAACACCAACAACAACAACAACACCACCACCACCACCACCAGCAGCAGCAGCAGCAACAACAACAACAACAACAAGAACAAGAACAACCACACCCGCACCCACACCTGCACCCACACCACCACCAACAACACCAGCAACACCAACAGCACCAACAGCACCAACAGCACCAACAGCACCAACAGCACCAACAGCACCAACAGCACCAACAGCACCAACAGCACCAACAGCATCAACAGCATCAACAGCATCAACAGCACCACCACCACCAACAACAACAGCAGCAGCAGCAGCAACAGCAGCAACAACAGCAACAGCAGCAACAACAGCAACAACAGCAAGAACAGCAAGAACAGCAAGAACAGCAAAAACAGCAACAACAGCAACAACAACAACAGCAACAACAACAACAACAACCACAACAACAACAACAGCCACAACAGCAACAGCAAGAGGAACAGCAAAAACAACAACAGCAGCAGCAGCAACAACAACAACAACAAGACCAAGAGCAAGAGCAACAGCAACAACAACAACAACAACAACAGCAACAACAACCGCAACAGCAACAGGGAAAGCGACAGCAACAGCAACAGCAGCAACTACAACTACAACTACAACTACAACAACAAGAACAACCACAACCACAACAACGACAACAACAACCACAACAACAACAACAACAACAACAACAACAACACAGCAACAGCAAGAGGAACAGCAACAACAACAACAACAGCAACAGCAACAGCAACAGCAACAGCAACAACAACAACAACAACAACAACAACAGCCACAGCAGCAACAACAACAGCAACGGCAACAGCAACAGCAACAAGAACAACAACAACAACAACAACAACACAACCACAACCACAACACAACAGCAAGAGAAACAACAGAAACAACAGAGAAACAACAAACAACAGAAACAACAGAAACAACAAAAACAACAGAAACAACAGAAACAACAGAAACAACAGAAACAACAGAAACAACAGAAACAACAGAAACAACAGAAACAACAGAAACAACAGAAACAACAGAAACAACAGAAACAACAGAAACAACAGAAACAACAGAAACAGCAGAAACAGCAGAAACAACAGAAACAACAGAAACAACAGAAACAACAGAAACAACAGAAACAACAGAAACAACAGAAACAACAGAAACAACAACAACAACAACCACAACAACAACAACAACACCAACAACAACCGCAACAGCAACAGTGAAAGCGACAGCAACAGCAACAACAACAGCAGCAACAACAACAACAACAACAACCACAACCACAACAACGACCACAACAACAACAACAGCAACAACAACAACAACAACAACAGCAAACTATAGACAACCACAAAGGATCTCGAAGATATACCTGATAGAATTCCAGAAAGAATTTCAGAAAATTTATGACGAAATAAAATGCTAATGCCAGATAGGCTGTCAGAAAATATGTCAAAATAGCGTCGCTTGGTGGGGGTTATTCGAAGAAGGTAATTTGTTCCGAAGGCACCCTTACACATAGAGGTTTTTATACACAAAGAAGGAAGTTTTTACACACCGATGCTTTGTACAAAGATGCTTTTGCGCACCTAAATAAAGGCACATCGGCATTTTTACAAGCAGAACCTATGCCACAGAGAAGCCTTCGCGCAGAACAGTTTTTACACAGATTTTTTAGGCACAGAAACAAATAGACACAGAGAAAATTGTACAGACAGACTGCACAAAGGAAAATACGCACCAAAATTTTTGCACGCAGAAACTTTACCCAGAACAGTTTTTACACAGCAGAAACTTTTCCGCACAGAAACCTTTCCGGACAGTTTTTTTTCATGCACAGCAATTTTCGCACAACATTCTTTACATACAGACGTTTTTATACACAGATGCCGTTACACGGAAGACGAATTGCACACAGAGACTTATGCACACTTTACACTTTTACACGCAACCAACTTTTTCACAGAGAGGTTTTGCTTCCCCTTCTTGATCACCTACCTTTCGTGTTCCCCCTCTCAAGTCTATTGTGACCAACCATGGTACACCATGAATTGTCCATTATCGTTGAATATTAGCAGGATTTTCACTGTTATGAACCATAAGTTGACCATCAAACCATGGTAAAAACGCAACAACTTTGATCTAGTTCGCCAGTGGCGCAGGGGAAGGCAGCGGCACCTTCCTGCAGGGCCTCTGCACCCAGGATGTGTTGCGACGCAGCCATGAGGTGGCAGCACTTCCGGCAGCGTTTCTGTCGCCCAAGGGGAAGGTGCTCTGCGATACCATCATCAAGCAGCAGGATAGCAATGAATACCTGGTGCAGACCTCAAGTTTGAAAAGATCAAGTGAATCAAGGGACATTTCTGATTTGATGTATATACATATATTATATATATAGTTATCTAATGTTCTGGATATGTGTAGAGATTTATGCAGACAGTATGTTTTTGTTTTTTCGTTGCCAGGACTTTTGGCCTTTTCAACCCAACTCGTTATTCCAAGCCGAGGTGGACTGCCATACCTCGATCATTGGCTCCCTGAAGCGTCTGCTGGTGCGGCACAAGCTGCGGCAGCCGCTGACCATTGATGATGTCTCGAAAGGTGGTCCTGCAGCGGTCACACCTTGAAATGCTAAACTGAAAAAACTGGGTGTCCCACAAAATGGGTACATTTTCAGAATTCAAAAACAGTGGGTTTCAGTTGAACTATTTTGAATGTTCCAATGGCTGCAATGTTTTCACTAACCTGATAGGCTACCACTCAATGGCGCTGTTGCCCCGGGCTGCGACAGATGCTGCAGGTGAAGGATGGGACGTCCATTGCGGAAGGGTCTCCGTTGTTTGTATCGACCACGTTTGATGCATTCTGAGAGCTTGTGCCATTTTTATCCATTTTTATCCATTTTCACGCTGCATCTCCAGAACTTTTCTTGGCGTTGTTCCTGCGAACATTTCCTTTGATATGTTAGCTTCCAGCTGTTTAGCCTTGTGATCTCCCAGATGGAGCCTTGGTCTTCTGCAGGCACCGCGCCAAGTGACACCCAGCCGTCCGATTTCTTCGTGGACCCTCGCTTCGGAGGCATGGGGCACCGTGCGATTCTGCCGGCGTCCCAGGTGCCAGTGGCCAGTGGCAAGCTGTCGGATTATCACTTCTGGCGCGTTTGCTGTGGCGTTCCGGAAGGGCCCAGAGACTTGAAGATCGATGAGGTGATGCCTTTACATGCCAATCTGGACTTGTTGGATTTCATTTCCTTTAGCAAAGGCGGGATTTGGCCGAAAAAGAGGGGATGCTTACCCTAGATTCTGGGGCCTTTTTCACTCTTCTTTATTGAAAAAGTCATGGAACATCCATCAATCATTGTCCTCTTCCATGCGAACGACGCATCGTGACTAACCATTGGATTTTGGGAAATATACCACAGTTTATGGCCACTTAGCGGAGATGATGACGAACATGATGATCAACAAGATTCTGGGCATTTTTGGTGCCAAGTGCCCCTCGTTAGTAGCCCCCCAGGCTGCTACGTGGGGCAAGAGCTCCTGACCCGCACCAAGCACCGCGGGGCTGTGCGGCGTCGCATCTTCACGGTGGTGGCCAGAGATGCCTCGGCGGCTGCGGCAGAGATGCAGGTGACCAGTGCGGCTGGGAAGCAACGGTTCGATGGTGACATGGGGATCTCGTGTTTTAGTGGGTGTATAACATTGGATCACCAATCACCATGGTTAATTCATAATGATTGGTCATGTTTAATAATGGTTACTAATAATGGTTAATGGATGTTAATGGTTAACAATGGGAATTAAGCGTGAGAAATGGTGATTCATGATCATGGTCAATGATGGTAAATATAATGGTCCAAAAGTCTATATATGTCTATATATATATGATGGTGAGAATGGCTGATGATGATTCATAATAGTTAATCATGGTTAAGAATTGTTGATAATGGTTAACAACGGTTAATAACGGTTGATAGTGGACAGTGGATGATAGTGGCTCATATTTGTGTATAAAAGCATTAAGGGCGATGAATGGTGATAGATGTAATTCCCGTCCTGTGTCATCAAGCGTGGCTGGCTGAAAAATTCACTGTAAATGGAGGTTCTGTTCCAACAGGAAAAACGTCCGTAAATGGTAGATATTTCAGCCAGGTGTGATTACCGGAGGGTACCTTCTGGAGATTTACCAGCCTATGAAAATGGGACTTTTGATAAGATTCCACCAACGAAAATAGGGATTATTTCTGCTTATCAAACATGGTGTCTGGACTATGTCCCCCTTAGTTCGATGATTTTCCCCACTGTAAACCTTCAGTCCACAGGGGATTCTCCAGCCATGTGCCGCCACCAGTATGTGATTGGGGACATACTGGAGATATCTGGAGATGGAGCGGATATTCAACATGGTAACATATGGTAACCAAACAATACGATCGTTGGTGGATTGCTGGAAAATGGATGGTTTAGGGGCAAACAACCTTTTTTTTTTGATATCAAGGGGATAGAACATGACCCATGACTGAACCCAATATGATTCGTGGGTGTACCATCAAACATCGGAGGATTTACCAACAAAAAACAGATAAAAACAGTTTCAAGATCTGGTTACGGCGTTCAAAGATGTGTCGTGAACTATACATTTTTTGGTGGTGTAAATTAATTTGACCGTTTGTTGGTTGACGTTTGTCACCATAGATAACCAGCAAAGGCAGATTCACCAACAAACATGGGCAGTTAAAAGACACGATGTTTATGGCTCAACATTTGACACATGTAGTCCCATACATTTGGGCATTTTCAGTGTTCAACTGTTCCGATTTGTGCCGGTTGATGCCAATCACCGTGAAAATGTGGATTGCCCTGACAAATAAGGGAGAGTCAGAAATGATGCTTCTGTTTGGGATTTAACTGGTTGAATGGGATACGGCTCAGGTGAAACGAACCGATCCTCTGACGGCTGAATTTGTGGTTCCAACCACCGAGTCTTTACAGCCTACAGATGACAAGGATGTGGTGATCTTTGGCCAAACCAATGGGGACACCAAGGGCCCCAAACAAGTGGGGACTCTGCTGACGACTTCCGGGAACTTGGCCTTGTGTATGCTCAGATGTGAAGGGGCCTTTAATGAGGTCTCCAGCTTTGAGCAGGCGCCCTTGCCTGAGAACATGAAAGTGATCTCGGCATCGGCTGCTTTGCAATTCCTCGTTCGGGCACCGCCTTATGTGTTTTCCTAGTTTCATGCCTAGGGATTTACAGCAGCCGCATTGGTGAAAAGACTGCTGCTTTTTCTCTCCTGAGCTAGAAGCAATCACGCTTCCATGACGATAGATATTTGATATTGATCATGTTTGGATTTTGAGTGCTTGGCAATTTCAGATCATGATTTTGGACGATTTTGGAGCATTTGAGCGTGACAAATGGAGCGCAATTGACACTGCATCAGGCTTGTGCCTCGCAGTCCCATTGGCTCCAGCTGGGATGGCGGAGGGTGATGAGGGGGATGCTCAATATGACCCATACCAGGCCCTTGGTGAGGAGACAGAGGACACAGGCGATGCAGGTGAGGAAGTCGACTTCATCATCGACACTGAGGGCACCGAGGCCACCGAAGGCAACGAGGGCAAGGAGGCCACCGAGGCCACCGAGGGCACCGAGGGCACCGAGGGCACTGGAGTCAGCAAGCAGGAGGAGCATGAGAAGAGCGGGCATGTAGAAGAGGAAGTGGATTGGGGCACTGAAGATGAAACTGATGCCCCAGAGACCCAGCCTGAGGAGAGCAATGAGGCTGGAAATGAGGGTGAAGCGGGTGACAAATCTGGTGATCCAGAGCCAGCACAGAGCTCTGCTGATGCAGCTGAGGAAGACGACGATGATGATTGTTTAATCGTGAGTGTTGTGAAAGCTCCCCCGCCTACACCAAAAGCGAAGGGAAAAGGCAAGGAAGGCAAAGGAAACAAGGGAACGAAAGGGGCCAACAAGGGAAACAAATCCCAATGGACAAACAAAGGAAACAAATGGAACAAATGGAAGACCAATGATCCCCCAGCCAAAGGGCATTCAAAAGGGAAGGGCAAGGGTAAGAACTGGTTTGTGGCTCCCAGTGGCCCCAGCCGGGCCAACAACTTGGGGCCTCCAGCTCAGTCCGCGGCGCCTGGCAAGGCAGCCACTGCTGCAGCCGCTGCAGCCGCCCCCGCAGCCCCTGCAGCCGCCCCTGCAGCCACGGCCAACTCGGGGACTGCTCAGCCAGCGGGGCCACCAGGTTCGGCGCCAGCCAAGGCGGCGCCAGCCAAGGCGGCGCCCATGCCACCGCGCCAGGTGTCCGTGGACGCCTTGTTGCAGGAACAGGTTCGGCAGCAACTTCTGACTGAACCTGGAAAACGGGCATCAATGCGCAGGCTCTTAAGTCAAGGCAAGGTGTCCAAGCTTTTGAAACATGTCAGCAAGACGCGGCAGACTCCGATCACCAAATTGCCAGAAGAGCTCTGCAACATTCTGCGCAATGTGCCTGCTGTTTTTCAAGTATCCGAAGAAAGTTCTGCAGTTCAGGACGTCCGTGTGAGCTTGACAGATGCAGGCGAAAAGGAGCCAGTGGTCGAGCAGAAGAACTTTGACACACTTTGGGCTTCCTTGATCGATGCCTCCGACGCCCAGGCCTTGCCTGTGCCTGCGAATCCGCCAGCAGATGCACCGCCGCTGCCACCACCGGCACCACCTGTGCCAGGGGCGGGGCAAACAATTTTGCAGCCAGCAAGGGTACCCTACCAGCCCAAGAAGGGCTCAGGTCCCAAAGCATCTGGGGCACCACACTGGGCTGCAAATGGATCCCAATTCAGCGACAGAAAAGGGCCCACTCCAGGATCTGGTCGACACCCCCCGGATCGGGCCGCCTTCCAACAGACACTGCAGCAACTTCAGGAGTTGGACAAACAGAAACTCCAACATGCAGGGCATGGAGGGCATGGAGGACCTCATGGAGGTCCGCAGCCACCAAATCATCCTCCTCCGGGCTACAAGGCTGACTGGAAGAGGTTCACTCCCACAGCCAAGCGCGTGCTGGCACCGCGCAAGGGGGGTGGGAATTCGGATGAGGCGATGGAGCCCGAACCAGCGGGGCATGGACATCAAGCAGGGCACGCAGGTATTCCCAGTGACACTGCGGTGATCCCTGCTGGACAGCGGTGGGTGGGTCCCACGCCTCCTTCAATGCCTCCGCCAACGAGTTTTGGATCGCGACCTCCCACACCAAATCCGCCATCCAATATGCCGCCTCATATGCATGGGCAACATGGCATGGACAACGAAGGGAGGCCCTATGATTTGGAGAGGGTGGTGGTGAACTTTGCAAATGTAGGCGCTACATATGGTGTTCGTGTGCTGAAGAGGGTCAAGGACAGAGACTACCTCTTCGACTACGAGGGAGTGAGGAGGTGCATTCGGCATCTCACGCAGAAGCGAGGGCTTCGTGTCATTGGAGTGATCTTTGAGAACTTCCATGGTGCTGAGAATGGCCGGGATGTGTTCCAGGTGCCTTGGGTGAAAGCTTCTTGAGGGGGCCTGGTAGTATCTGACAATCTAGAAGGCCCATAAACACATCCAAAGAGGCAAATTACACGCACACACATGTGTATATATTTGTATATATATCGCATAAATTCATGTAATACAACTATTTTTCATACGTTTCTTTGGACTGCGTGAGTATTACATGTGTATCTACATATCTCTGTGTAAGATCTGAACATTCTTAAGTTTTATGCAAGCTAGCCTACTTGACAGGTTCCAGCAGACATCTCCGCCATGTGCGAGAGCATCGAGCTGACTCCCAGGTTGCTGGGACATCGTCACAAGTGTGCAGATGATGAGATGACCATCAAATGCGCGTATCGACGAAATTGCCGCTTCCTCGACAATGACAATTACCAGGATTGGCGTAGCAATCTTGCAGATGATGCAGTTCGAGCCTGGCTACTCCATTGCCAAGAGTTCCTGCAGATGAAATTTTACTTCGACTCGGGCCTCGGAGAGTTTGACATCCTGGAAGGCAACATTCCGGAAAAGCGGCTGGCACAAGGACCTTCTCAAGGACCCACACAAGGACCTGCGAAACGAACGTGCTCAAGACAGTGGCGCTAGTGAGTGAAAAAGACGCTTTAGGACGACAGTAACAGGTTCAATACATCTTTATGGCATTTATGGCATCATGGCAAAACCCGATTGAATCCTTTTTTGGCTTGCAGGCATGTCGACTCGTGTCTACCACCAGCGAATTCTTGTGGCCATGCTGGGTATGCTGTACATTCGCCAGCCCTTGCCGTGGGGCTCAGACACTTTAGACTAAGAGATCCCAAGAGCATGGCCAAAGCGTAAAGCGTTCAGACATTGCAACCCTGGCTCTACTCACGCTGTCCAGCTCGCCGGTGAGAAGCTCGTGGCCCTGAGCGCTAGGAATCTGTATCTCAAAAAATAGCTGAACATATATAGCTAAACAAGTGCATCGTAGTTTGATCGCAGCACCTTGCCACTACCGCAGTATCCATCACTTTCTATAGCTGACCGCATATGGGCCCCCATACCCATGGCTAAGAGAATCGCCCTGCCTCATGAGCAGCGATTGGCAGAAGCTCTTCGGCTGAATTTCATGAAGCTGGATTGATTTGTTTGACAGATGGTAACCCATGGTAACCCGATGATACCCCATGGTACCCCTTCCCCCTTCAATTCCGTGCCGCCAAAATGAATAGATCAGGCGGGGGCCACCGGTGAGGTGGACATTATGGTTACCACTTTGTGGCGGCCATAGGGACACGTCCTAATAGCCCCTACGGAAAGCTGTTTGTTTGGCCCATTTTGAGAAACAATGAAGCATGTTAGAGGCATTCTGGACACAAAACTATATATATATAGAGACACAGTACACACACACACATACACACACACATATATATATACATTGATCCATATTCATATCAAATCCTCACCGTTTGAGGCTGGCAGACTTGTGGTATCGGAAGCCGGAGGCAGCGAGTCTTGGAGAGGAAGTTTGTCACCCAACAGGTATCGGTCGCAAAAAACTAGAAGTGAGCGATATGTAAGTCATTCAGCCGGTTTGCTTTCAAAAATGTGTCCTTTGCTCACTGTACTTGATGTTTGATTGACAGCTACTGTACCCACCTCGTTCATAGCATATGAGCTTGACAAGTCCTTTCTTTGACCAAGCTTTCAACTCACGGCCTTTCCGTCCAGCACAGGTCTTCCACTTTCTTGGCTGTCATGTCTCCAGCACTCTGCCAGGTTTACCCGGCGCAATGGTCAGATGATCCTGATCGACTACATCTTTGCCTTGCAGCAGGAGCACCGTTTGGTGGGTCTCTGGTCTGCTTTGGCACTTGCTGCGTGGAGAGGAAAAGCACCAGCCAATGCAATGTGAACAAACTTGACTCGTCTATTTTCATTTCATTAAGATTCAAGTTTCTGCCAGGGTTTCTTCTTGGATTTGTGATGTTGTGACACACACGAAGGAATACGAAGGATGCACATGGTAATCGGGCAACCCTTCGGATGCAATAGTTTCACTCAATAGCTCAGGCGCCGCCAACACCTTGACCCCCACTAAATGTACCTAGCACAGTATCAAAACATATCAAAACAATGTATTGTTGGCGAGTTTCATTCACACGGTTAATGTCGATGATCATCGTTGGGCCCATTAACATGTTGTTTGCACCTGAGGCCTGTGGCTACTGTGCGGAATGAGTCCCTCGGCTGCTGAGCTGGGGTTCAAGTGCCTGTTGATCCATTGGTGCCCTGGGTTTCGCCATTGGTGCATATTGGTAACCTGTTGAATGCTTATATTATTCTTTTCATGGCTTGATTCTTCTTGGGTGTCAGTACCGGCACAAGATGTCCCAGGTTGAGGGCGAGTAAGTATGTTGACGTTCCATTTCTGCCTGGGGTATTTTGTATGTTTCTACCCGCGTCAACTTTCTTTTTGGATGCGGATGCCTCCTTGGGGTGCTCTGGATTTGTCTCATTCACCATTTCTGATTGAAACTCTATGAAATCCATGCGAGCAAACTCTGTTGACACGTTTGTCTGCAGCGTTTTGGTGCCCTGTGCGTTTGTGAACTTTATCCAGCGTGGCGCCAGTCATGGTAGGGCCGATCCAGGGATCCTCGGGGATCGCGCGTCAGGCACGTCTTCCAGCCGGTGAAGGGAAGCCTCCAGACCCATCTGCAGACCTGGACCGCTGCGGGGCGCTTGATCCAATCGGCCCCATGGGTACACACTGGCTGCTTGGATGCTCAAGTGCTTGAGGCGACGGATTGGGCCAATCGGATTGGGGAACGATCCCAAAATGGCCGAAATATTCCGCTGAGTGAATTATTGTAATTTATCCAGATGTATCTGATCCTTGGCCCGAGGTTTGGTGACAATGGGCTGGAGTGCGCAGGAAACTTTGGCTGCTTGGAATATAGGGCCTATAGGCGATTCATTTTTCACGTTTGGGTGGGCCAATCCTCTAGTTTCAGATGTTTCAGCACTCTTTAGAGACTTTAGAGAATCTGATTCGTGCTGTTTTTCACCAAGGTCTGTGTCTTTGAATCTGGTCTGATCCGGACGTATCTTGCAGTGGATTGGGATGAACATGGGAGAGGCATGGGATGTTCATTTCTGTTTGGCAGGTGGATTCACCCTATTCAATCCTATTCCATCCTATCCCATTCTATGAACAATCACGTGTATCAGATACCATACCGCAAAAATGACCACAATCACAATCACAATCACAGTCGTCATCGTCATCATCATCATCATCATCATCCTCATCCTCATCCTCATCCTCATCCTCATCCTCATCTTCATCCTCATCCTCATCCTGGTCTGAACATGAATGAACATTGTACTATTGCAGCCCATATATCTGAGGTATTCCGTGATGTGTGAGCCCCTTCATGTCTTCACCATCGACGAGAGGATCAAGTCCGAGGGTGGTGCCATCATGGCATCCCTGTGGCCCACGGGGGTGGTGCCTTGGTGCTGGGGAAACCTTGGGATTTCACCAGGAAAAATCTGGGTTGAAGATGGTTTAACATGGTTCATGAAAAAAATGTGGGCTTGACATGGTTTAACCATCTTTAACCATCTTTAACCATGTTTAAGCATGTTTAACCATGTTTAACCATGTTTAACAATGCTTAACCATGTTTAAACATGTTTAACCATGTTTAACCAACAACATATAGAAACCTCACCATGCTGCTTGAGCGGCACGATTGCTTTTGGCAATCCGGAACCAGCATGAGACTGGGTTCAATTCCCTTGCTGGGTTGCTTCAATACTTCAGCTGCTAGGATTCCAACTAAATCAAAAAGTGGGGCTGAATCCCAAACCAGATGGGTATAGGATATACACCATGGGATTTTCTCATGGGGAAGTCATGAGAATCCACTCGGGGCACCGCTGCAACCCTGAAATCCCCAGATGGTTCATCATCATCTTCCCCATTGAAAGCGGCAGTGGGTACAATGTATCTTCAGACTGACATACCCTTGTATGCCAGAAGCAGTTAAAGGTGCTTCACTAAAGTGCCTACACCAACCATATTTAGCCCATTGACTTGTCAAGTGTGGGACTTAGTCCGGTGTTTGCAAGAGGCCTCACGATTTTGTCTTTTTGCTTCTCGGCATTTGAGGCTGTTTTGACGAGAAAGTCGAGCCTCTTTGTGAATACCTCCCTGACCCGTTCGGAAGATGTGCCTCAGCAGCAGATGCTTTGCTTTCCAGACATCAAGCCGTTGACGCCGTTGATAGACCAAGGCCTGTCATCGTTTTGCTGACCTGCGTGTGCCCAGTGCACCTTGGCATGTCAGGGTATTGCATGCCGGCAAAAAGGGTGAATTCACGTGGCAAGCGCTGGAGCGCGGATGGTGATGAGGTGATGAGATTCAGATTATTTGGCCCACTTGTGTGTCTTTTGCCCACTTGAGGCACCCTTGTGCATTTGTGCTCTCCCGCCACCTTCGGAGGAATCCGCTGCAGCTTGGTTGAGACAGGGACGAGGCATTGCTTTTCGGTGTATGGACCAAACATCGTGGAGAATGCCTTGCCGCCTAGCACCATGTGGCTATGGTGAGGATTTCATTCTCAGAAATCATCAGTAATCGAATCGGATGGTCAATTTTGAGTAATGTGGAAGCCCTATGCCATTATCATACCATTTGGGGATTGTTTATATATGTTTATGCCACCTATTGTTGGGTTTGCCCCACATGATTTTCCACTGGAAACTCATCGACCCAAGGATGTGCAGGTCATTGTTGGAACGGCCGAGGGGCCGGTGCTAATGGTGGACAGGCTGGACATTCCACCGTCAAAGATGGGTGGTTTGCTACGTGAATTTCGTTGATTTTGCTGATTTTTCAATGTTCAGATTCATGATCCACCAGGGTCACCAGGGGGTTGTGAAGAATGTTAAAACCCAGCTTGGAATGGCCACATAAATTGAATGCACTAAATGCACAACGGAAGCTTTGCTTAGTTCCAGCTCCGGCTGGGCCACTTGTCGACTTCAGCCTTCGCTGAACCCCCGGGATGCCGATGGAGAGAGAGAGATGAGAGAGAGAGAGAAAGAGAGATAACCCAAGTCTTGTGGGCCCTTTGGCCTTACATGGCCTTACTGTAGTTTGGGCATTAGGTACCACATTTTAGAGCCAAACCACTGATGCGATTCATCTCCTGTGTACTCGTTCGGAACGCCAGTTGCAGGCATAGCACCAGCACCTCTTCTGCAAAAGGGTGAGCTGATCACGATGTTGGGATTGTACCAGTAGCAGATTGTAAGGGAAACTCTTGCGTTTTCTTAAGACAGCTGCCCCCCAAGAACCTAATCACAGTCACACACTTGCCAGGTGTATGTCGAAGATGTTGCGTGATGTGAGTTTCATGAAAGTTCTTCAGTTGGCAGATAAATTCAGTGCCGTTTTTTTTGTTCTCCTTGATTGCTGCAAGCTTGACAGTGGATCCGTTCCAACAATAAGGAGACATTGGCCTCACTGATGGTCCGTTTATGGCCTTCTCTTTGTCGAATAGCGGTCGCTTACTGGCATGCTTGAGCACGAAGGGCGTTTTCAAGGCTGGTGACAAAGATGATCAGGCATCCCAGCTCCCCAAAGCGATGTCCTTTGAGGGATGTTCAACCTGAAGTCCGTCCAAATCCGAGACTCAAAGCCATTAGATTCTTATTGAACAATAATGAGAAGAGTAAAATACAGATAATATAGTACAACTATGATGTAACAATAATCACTAATCAATTTCAATCTCAACCCCATCCCGGCAGATGGCAATGTGACAGCAGGTCGTTGCTGTGAGCGATGAGTTGAAAGTCCTGGTTCCTGGGCTGCCTGGGCTGCCGGGGCTGCCTGGGCTGTGAGAGTGGACCATGTCACGTGGATTTTCTAATGATGATATCTAGGATGGATAGACGTTTTTTTTTTTCGATTTGGCAAGCTGCATCTCCAAAGAAAACACAAGAAAACCGTGTTTTTTCTTGAGCCATACCTTCATCCAAATCAAATTTGAGTCTACCCTTTTTTTCTCTCCGGGGGTTCAGACTTGCCATGAGCATGCACGGCTCTGTCACAGCTGAAGGATGTGGCGAACATCGAACGCATCCGAAAACCCAAGCAGATGGTCTGGTGTCCACGCCTCAATCCGAGGTTGCTATAGGTTGGTCATACCAATGTCATGCCATTCCTGCAATTCCAACATACTCCATCCAAATCCATCCAAAGTATGGTAGGATATGCACACGGATAGAATCATGAATCATGGCATTTTTGGGGAATCCCTTCAAGATCCTCTGCGGTTTTGAGGTGGTGATGATTGCATCGCCTTGTATTTGGTTGCCCCTGCTGATCACAATAGCACCTTTGGTGGCACAGAAAAGTCACCGCGCCCATTAACAGCTGTCAATATCCATCGCCATCACCAGGTTTGCAGCATGTTCTCTTTGTTGGTGGGCCGCAGACTCTTGGTAATCTTGGCTGGGCTGGATGACGGACAAAACATGGGCATAGAGAGGATTTGATGTTGGCAGATGTTGACAGCACATCTGAATGCATTTCTGAAAACTTTCTGCATAGCCATGCCAAGTTCACTTTCGAATTTCGAATCCAAGGAATGATTGGATTCCTTACCAGTATGACTCGCCACTGCATTTGGTTTCCGAATGCGATGGTTGCAGAGTCATGGGGACACACAAGATTGAGTTTGTGCAAAGAGTGCCCCACAGTGTTGAATCCATCTTCAGCATTGGCAGCTATGACAATCCCGCGTTGCTACTCTATGCATTGGAGCAGTACGAGAAGGGGGATGTTTGTGCCCAGGCTGGGATGGCCACCATTCTGGGAAAAAATGGTGGTATAGAATTTGTGTTGTTGCACAGTCTTTATGCATGTATACATACTTTTCACCTTATAGATTGTGTTGCATTGGCTCAAGAAATAGTGCGTAGCAGGTGTATTGGGATTGTGGTTTAACCCGGCTTTTATCCCGTTTCTACAGGTTATCAGCCGTATCGCCAAGCGATCGCTGGTTTCCTTTGTTTCACACTTGTCGTTCTTCCTCCGTAGTTTTCGCAATGTCCACTCCCCCTGCGCTTCCTGCCCCGGGCGGGAACGCCTCGGCTGCATTGGCTTTGGCGACAACTACACAACCGGAGGAAGTGGTAATCCATTCAGGCGCGGCTACGACAACAGAAGGGGACATGAGTTATCTGGATGAAGAGTTTGACCCATGCCGTCAAGATCCACGCAGGAACATGCCAGGTGTTTTGGATTCAAACATTGACATCAGCCAACTCAACACCATCAACTTTAACAGTGTTGATCAGCGTACCGCCCACGTGGCAGTGGTACAACAAGGCATTGATCCAAACCTGGCGAACCAGCTCATGGCTGCTCAACAGCAGGCATTGCAGAGTGAGGCGAATGTACGTCACTCTGAGGTCATGGAGCGTCAACGTATGGAGCTTGTGAGTGAAGCTCGAGATCAACTTGCAAGCGTCGAACAACAAGCAGCCGAAGAAATTTCCAGGAGAAACCTTTTGTTGAACGAGCAGGCCGCCCAGGCGATGAGTGAGCATAAATCTGCTCAACTGCAGGTCACAGCGCAGGATCATCGCATCAGGGAACTGAGTGCCGAGCTGACTCATGTGGTCAACAATGCAGGTGTCTTGACATCGTCTGCGGAGAAGTCCAATGCTGATCTGCAGGCAGCACGTTCAGAACTTGCCGAGTACCGCACTCAGATTGATGCAATGAATCAACACGCTTTGAACATGCATAAGCTGGCCGAATCTCAGAAGAAGGACTTCGAGGCGGAGATTGAGAAGCTTCGGAAGGAGCAGAGAGAGCTCATCCGGAATTTAAAGTCTCAACCTCTGGAGGGAACTCCTGGACTTATGATTCACTATGGTTCAGGGAAACCCATTCCACAATCCTCGAAGCCCAAGGGTCCAACCATTGTAGAGTTAGCTTCGGGAAGCAAGAAGCCTCAGCATTCATCAGATGCTGACGACGAGCATTTTCAGGCAGAACCTTTGAAGCCACCGGGATTACCCGGCGGTGGACCTCCAGGAGATGACGATGGTGATGATGAATCTGACGACAAGAGAGGTCGCAGAGACAAGAAAGACAAGAAGAAGGACCGCAAGACTAGTCGTGGCCGCTCGCGACGACGACGTCGAAGAGATCCTTCATCCTCACCTTCATCATCAACATCCCCTACGTCATCAAGTTCGGATTCTGAGAGTTCCTTTACCCGAAAGGTCAAAAAGGCCTTGGAGCGTTCTAGGACTAGTGATACTAAGGCCAAAGAGTCTGATAGGATCCTTGTTCCTAAGTTCCCTCAACCCGAAAATTATAGAAATTGGAGAATCCGAGTAAGGGATGCCATAATTGCTGCTTCTGCTAAACCCGACCTAGCTTTTCAGTGGGTGGAGGAAGTGTTCAGGACAGACCAGTCTGCCGATGCCTTGAAGGACTCAGGTAAATTCGTGACCCTGGACGCAAAGCTCATGTCTTCGCTCACCAACATCTGCGAAGGGGACTTTGCACGGCAACTTGACATCTTTAAAGAAGAACAAGCCAAGTCAGGGACACCAGCTAGGGGACGTCAAGCATTGCTCATGATTCATAAACACTTCAGTACTAGTAGGAAGCATGGTGCAGTGTACGACATTGAGGACCTCATGGCTGTTACCTTGGTCAATGATGATCTCAGAGGTTTCATCACCCGATGGGACGCTGTGATCGCTGGAATGACTTCCGAGCCTGACATGATGTGGAAGCAAGCCTACTTTCACAACGCCATCAAGAACTTCAAGCCTCTCTCTCATGATCTGGCTGTGTATGATCGCACACCGGAGGGGGAACCCAACCGCTCTTATGATTTTCTCATGAAAGCTGCAAGGGACTACCTTGAGAGGAGACGTCTTGAGAAGATGCGCCAGGCTACCAAGAAGTCCGTTTCAGGCAAAAGAGATGCAACGCCAGCACCCACGAGGCCGACATCCACGGGAAAGCCCACTGGCATTTGCTATGACTTCCAGGCCGGCAAATGTACCAGGGGAAAGGATTGCCGATACCGACATGAAAAGGCGGACAAAGGAAAAGGCGGAGGTAAGAAAGGCAAATCTAGGTCCAAGTCTAGGGGCGATGGTCGATCTTTGTCTCCAGGATCTAGGAACCAAGTGTGTAAGTTTTGGAAGGCAGGTAAGTGTCAACGAGGTAATGACTGTGCTTTCCAACACCCACCAAAGCCTGCAGCTGCATCTGCCAAAGATGACAAGCGTGGAAAGAGCCAGAAAAAGAAGAAGAGGAATAAGAAGAAGAAGGGCGATCGCTCCAGATCGTCAAGTCGAGGTTCCAACTCCTCGAGAGGCTCACAGAGTCTCAAGGACAAAGGGGGAAAACCATCTTCCTCTGGCTCAGCTGCAGTCTGCCTGATGCGCGCTCTGATGATGGTCGCAGTCGTTAACCCTTCGACCAGCACTCATCGCGTGCCGGAAGGCATAGCCTCTCCGCATTGTTTCAACCAGCATTTTGCCATGCCAGTTACACCCAATCGCACTGTTTCATTTGGGGGCAACGATGAAATCTTCGAAGTTCCCATTGAGCAAAATTGTAATTTATATCCGTGCCAAGCCAAGCAACGAACTTTCAATCCAGTTCGCATCACCAAGAACGATCGTACTCGTAAAGATACGATCGAAGCAAGAGAAAGTGATGCAATACTTGCAGCACAGATGTTGCAATCAGCTGTCTTTCGGGAGTTGCATGGTAAGCTTTGCAAATGCAGCTTTGAATGTGACAGTGATATCGGCTGTCGCCACTGCATCCGTTCCGACCTGAATGCCCTGCCAGGACATATGCCGTCCCAGCAGCGTAACGCATCCGCTGAGATAGCATGGATTGCTGACACTGGTAGTGCACAGGACTTAGTTTGCAGCAAGATGATTCCCGATGACATCGTGTATCACTCTCATGAACCCCTTGAATTAATCACTGCAAATGGTTCTCAATCAGCTGACCAACAAGCTTCTGTTCACATTGATTGCATCGACAAAGAAGTTCATCCATATGTTCTTCCCGATACCCCGGCTGTAATATCGGTAGGGATGAGATGTATTCAAGATGGATGGGATTTTGTTTGGAAAAGCTTTAGTCGCCCATATTTCAAGAAGAAAGATGGAACCAAGATCAAACTTGAAGTCAAAGATTTTGTTCCTTATCTACCATCCAGAGATGGCCAGGTACCCGCTGCAGTAGGGATTCCGTTTTCATGGAACTCCGCTGCCGGGAACGGCAAGCCCATCATCTCACCTGTTCGAAGGTCTCGCATGTCAGCCGTCGGTGCCGAGTCCGATGATGAAGTCGAGGAGGTCGAAGTACCTTACGAGGCTTCCATCGCTGATGACGATGAAATTCCCGGACAAGCTATCGACGACCTCGAAGAATTCTTTCCTGGTGAACTTGCACCCGGACCGCCAGCAGCCATGACACCAGACGTTGTCGAAGGTTCGGAAGATGAAGCCGAAGCTCCTGAAGAACCAGTTGACGGTCGACTTCAGTTGCCTGAACCAAAGGCGATTGATCGTGGTGAAGCTGCACTTCGAGAAGAGGCCAGGACCCTTAGGCACATGATGACACATACCCCAAAGAATCCCTTTTGTGAAACGTGCAAATGTGCAAAGATGTACAAACCTACTAAACGTAGCAAAGGGGAATCTCTGACTGTGGAATCCAACAAGTTTGGGGATCACATCACTGGGGATCATCTTGTGACTAGGGATGCCAACGAACAATCAATTGATGGTGACAGGGTTGCTATGGTCATGAAAGATGTCGCTACGAATTTTCGTTGGATTTATCCTTCAGCTAGAAGTCATGCCAAAGATTGTGTTTTAGCTTTTAGGCATTTCATTGCACCTGGTGAAGAAGTCGGAGTGTTTTATTCCGATGCAGCGCCATCCATCAAGCTCGCTTGTCGGGAAGTTGGGTGGAGACAGAACACTAGTGTTGCTTATGTCTCTAAGTCGAACGCAGTCGCCGAGAGGAATCTCAGGTCCGTACTCGAAGGGACTAGAGTTAACCTCGAACAGGCAGGGCTTCACCATTCATATTGGAGTTATGCTGCACGACACTGGTGTATGGCACACAACATCCAGGACCACCCTGAAATCTTATCTCCGTGGGAGCTTCGTTTTGGGGAAAAGTTCAAGGGATCCAACATTCCTTTTGGGGCTCGCATTGACTACTGGACTGGTCCGAAACTTAAACCCAAGAAAGATTTGCGTTTTGACCCAACTTCAAATCCAGGTGTCTTTTTGGGATATGCCATGCAACCAGGTTTCGTTTGGAGAAATGAATTTCTTGTAGCATCATTGAAGGACCTTATGGAGAAGGAATTCAACGAATCAGTTCAAGTTGTGCGTGTCAACCAACTCACTGTACCTGATGGACCGTTCGTTTATCCTTTGAAAGGTAGATATAAGGCCATTAGGGAAGGTTTATACGAATCTCTTAGCCTTGATGCTCCACCAGATCCAAAGAAGATGGACGCTCAAACCATTGAAGACTTGGTTGCTCCAAGGAAAACTGTTGAGCCAGGACCGGTGGAGGGCGAAGAGGAGTTTGAACAGTTGATGCGTGAAGCTGGACTTGAGTCTGATGACATCGAAGTGATTGACCCCAAGACTGGAAAATCAGAATTTATCTCAAAGGATGACCCTTCATACTACGATGCTAGTGGTTTTAAGGGAAGACGATATAAGGGTTCCTCCAAACCAAAGGACATTCCAACATTTCTTTGGCGGGGGGCCTCT